TCCAAGGCTATTATAGCCTATCGGTCATACAAGTGTTATGGCCCTACGATTTTAATCTCGGCTATCGTTTGCCGACATCGATCATCTCAGCTAACGATTATCCCGGCCCCTCCTCCTGAATACTTGTCGATGAAGAAATCTGTCGATTTTGTTGGAAAAGCGATGGTACCTGAAAAGCTCGATCAACCTTGAGCCCCTTTCAACTCCCAAATTTGTACGTCATGTGGCTTGATGGAAGTCGCCAACCAATCTCGATCTGCGTCAAGGCGCCCTTAATATCCGTCTTTAGTGTCAAACTACGCCTCGTCGGCATCCGGCAAGATACGATTTGTGGCTTCCGGGAACCACTATACACACTCGTACCACTGGGGATCATACCGCTACGAAGTACGCATCCTCCCCTCAATCGAACCATCGCAGATGCATCGCGGAGAAATTAGGAGAAAAACGGGACGAAAAGAAAAAAAAAACTGCTTGGGGGTTGACTAAAGCAGTTACCCCTGCATGAAGTTAGTCTGGCTTAGTCTGGCTGTCTAGTCTGGGCTAAGCTACGATCTACAACTCCAAGTTCGGAAACTCATGCCATCCAAGGAACCACTTACCAGCACCACTCGTCCAAGGCTCCAAGCCTTCTTTCCGAGCTCCGAATCCTGCCCCCCCCCCCCTTGTCCAAGACCGGCGGAGTACCGTGATCAAGATCTAAGCTAAGTTGGCTAAAGCCTAATGCTTCCTCCGGTTGTTTCGGCATGGTGGGCAACGAACGGGAACGGATAGAGAGCCATCTCCCCGACCCCATCGGTGCTCCAATACCAAGTATGGCTAAAGCTCCCACCTTCCTCTCGGTCGAGATCTGGCAATCGATCGCTGTGCGTCGACCAAATTGCCGAGCAAGGGGTTGTACTTGCCAAGCAGAAACGGGCAGCAAGACACGCGACATGTCTCACCATGCAGGCTCCTTCTTAAGAAACCCTGCTGATTAGCGGGCGTGGGCAGCATCGAGGCTCTTCGGTAAGGGGAGATGAGATCTGTTTCGCATCCTTGTCTCTTTCCATAGCTACTATTCATGAACATCTGGGAGGAGGTGAGTTGGATGTAGGAGCTCTGGTGCCGGAACCACGTATAGCCTATTCTTTACGTCGTTCAGCGTACAGTAAGAAGCGCTGTCTAACATACCTGCAGCGCTTGTAGTGTCAATGCTGGGTTTCTACCTCGTAGTCGAGCCATGGGGCATCTGCTGCTTTCAGCGTGTGTGCTCACAATCTCAAAAAATAACGTGAATATCAGCCGTTGCAGAGGTCATCCGCCGCGCATGACTGCTCCGTTATGGTGCTATGTGGATTGGTCTTGAAAAAAAAGCATCTCCGGGGTTCAGTGTAAAGAACAAAAATCGGGCTGATAGCCAGAATTGAACTGAAGACAGGCAGAAAGACTAAAACGCAGAGAAAGCACATGTGAATGCAGGGATGACCGATGGTGAAGGGCGAGTCATACATAGTGGTCTCAAAAGATCATCGAGCGCAGCAGACCGTGGACATAGACATCATAGAGCACGTGCAAGGTAAAGCGTACAGACCTACTACCGCTACCACTGCTGTTAGAACCCCAGTCCTGAATTGAATATCATGGCAGACCAGGCAGCATATTCCTGATGTGGACAGGTCAACCAGACTTGCCTGCTCCCGTGGCAGTCGAATTCATCAATCGACTGCCCTTTGCAAAGCCCGCTGTCTACTATGTAAATTCAGGGCCATCTCAGTACGCACAGTATCCAAGATTCTAGCGACGCAGCTAGGCAATGGACCTAGAAGTAGAGAGCCATAAGTTAGCTCAAGATCGGTTAGGTAATTCCAATCCTTGGTCATCCTCGAAGCCAAGGCTCGATTGACTTGGCGATACCCAGGAGACCAAGAGTCGTGATCCCAATCTCCGTCAATTGCTCTCGTTCTGGTATCTGGTGCTGGTGCAAGGAAGGTGAGGACACCAATGAGAATTCTGATGATCATCAGTCACTGAATCAGTTGCAGGACTGGACTGCCAGGTGGGCTGCCCGCCCGTTTTTTCCAAGCAAGCTAATTACCCTAACCGGGGATCCATTCCCCGGGCGGACCACCGAACCGAACCCCATCGCGTGCCGACGGTCTTCGGCTGCGGACCGGGATTTCTCTGTGTGTTGGGTCTAACTACGGAGTTCTGTCTGTCTACTGTCTAGCCCACCGGGAAAATCGCTTCACCGGAGTCACTTCTGGACAGTCCTCTTTGCCGGCGGTTGTTGGGACTGACATAAGACCTTCATCTAGATGGTCCGTCTGTGTAAGAGGTGCCCAATACTTTCTATAATTTCCAGGGTTGATGTCTCGAATGGGGTGGGAATTGGCCGTTGTTTGACTGTTGAAAGGGGGGGGGTGTCACGGAGGATATACTCAGCTGGGGCAGGCTGGGCCATCACCCAGATTCCTGTGACAGGACCACGAAAAAGGGGGGCAGCCCCAATGCGATTGAATTCCTGAGCAAAGTGCTTCCATCTTGACTCTGGAACGAACCGAATGGTGGCGGCGTCAAGCCATCAGTCTCTCCGATTCCCCAAATCGTGGATGGGATCAATCACGATTGTCTTGTTCGGGTGCTTTGAAGAAGGATCTTCAGTATGGGCTGCTGTAGTGGTCAAGTGACAGGCTGCCATCCAAGGAACTCATCAAGAGTGGATCAGATTCCGCTGTTAGACAGGAAGTGATGTCACCAATCTTCCTGGCGAACGATGGACGGAAGATTCAACCGCGGCTCAAGCCAGGCGCAAAAGCCGTAATCATGACAATCAGAGAGATCCGAACTGCCGAAGCGGAGGATTGCAGCGCTGCGCTGCGCAGGAAGCTAAGCTACCGTCAGCTATGCTTCCAGTAGCGTAGCTGTTAGTTAACGTATGCTTTTTCAGCTTAAATGACTTTCCTTGGAGAGTCGCGTGAGTGGAATGGGACCACTGATCACTGATGAATGGGTTGATGATATGCTGCTAGATGATTAATCACTTTGTTTTTTTGCCCTTCACAAACTAAACATTTATTCTGCGTCATTATTTGGTCGTTCCTCCTTATGGTGTTGATTTTGGTTTTGGTTTCGTCCACATCGCAGTGGCCTGATCGTAGGGAGAAACCGGTTCTCAATCTAATTCGCCTATTAGAGCAGCCGGGCGAGAGAAGGGGAAAAAAAAGTTTTCATCGTCTCTTTTGCCTCATTGTTTTTTTTTTGTCTTCCCGGGTCTATTTCTGCCTATTAGTAATGGGGGACTCCCCCCCGATCTAGGCTTGTTCTCCTATTATTGTTGTTGATCTTTTTCGCCCTCGGCCGAACGAAAATAAAAACCTACTTTTTTGTTGAAGATGATAGCTCACATTGTATCGGAATTGCTTTTCTTTTTTTCTGCCATGCCCCTGATGATCGCTGGAGAGTAGGGGAGGTCCGAGGCAACCAGTGATAGGCCATCAGTTTCTTCAACTACGAAGCTCAATTTGAGTTCGGTAGATGAATTGCGAGAGTGTCTGGACTTGTCTCAATGCCTTTCGCGACGAGGCCGCGACGAGGCCGCGACGAGGAGCAACAATAGAACTCCTTCCTATTATCGACTGTGGCTGAAAGGATGTAACTGTACTCCGTAGTATGATATTAACTCCAGCAGCACCGCTGCTAAAAAGAACTGGGGGGGCTGTCAAGGATTATTCAATTTTGTCTTTTTGGGCTATGATCCTGCGTTCTGTCGGTCGGCCATCGGCTCCGACTGGCGACGACGTCGGGCCCGGTGGAGGAGGATGATGAGAAGAAACAGAGCTAAACCATCCATGATCCGAATATTGCTCCCTTAATCTGCGAAGCCTGCGTAGGAGTTTACCAAAAGGGGAGTTTTAATGGTTTCTGTCCGCTTCGGGCGCTGGACATAGTCGCCTGGATTGGAATAGAAGCTCAACATAGCTTTTGCCCTTCAATTCTCCGCCATTCATATTCGACCAAGCTGACAATAGTCATTCGGCTCTTCCCTTGCACTAAACATTTTGATGAGGACGGGAGTTAACTTAGGATGATTGTGTCCATTGCGTGGAACATGGACACGTCGAACGCCCCACGCCAGAACGTTTGAATTTTCCTTTTCTTGCTTTTTTCCTCTTTCGATCATGTTCGTGGAGAAATTCCTCGCCATTGCCATTCGCCAAAGAGGATGCTTGCTTCCGAAAGCCAGGCGGCGACGCGTGGAGGAGAGGATGCAACTTAATACGAAGTCTGGTTGGATGCATCCCAGCGCCCCGGCAGCAGTCGGGAATACACAATGAGATCGGCGACGATGAGTAACAACTGTAAGAAAAAGAGTACGAGGGTGATATGATGTTGATATGATGCTAGCCGGCATTCAGTGGGTAGTAACTTAGACCATTGGTCTAAAGGGAGTAAGTAAGTAGTAAGTGCATCAGACCACCGAGGTGCTTCGAAAAGTAATCGCCAAGGCTCGGGATCCTCTAGGGCCGTTGGACGGTGACAGTCCCTGTCTGGTCTGATGCTGCACGCCTGCGACCCGTGCTGGATACATCGCCGTCCTTGGTTGGGATAGTGAAACTCCCCTCGTCTCCTCTTGATCAAGTGCCCACAATTATCATGATGGATCCATTCCCGCGTGGAGGAGGGTCGGGTTCGAATTCGGATTTTCTGAACTGGCAATCAGTGCAGGATCTTGATATGCCCAATGATCGCTGACTCTCCCCCCCCCGGTCTGTAGCCCCCCTCCGCCCAGTCGACATATATAATTGCATGATGTCGCTGTCCTCTCATGGGTCTCCAATTATTCTTCGATTTTCTTCTATTATCTTTCCATCCTCGCCCGATTTATCTCTCGATCCAACCCCAGGAGTTCGTGAAAGCCTGCCGCTGTCATATAGCCCCTGTCAGAACGCCTCCTTCGATTCTCAATCAGCCACACCTTGATATCTCTTGAGGACGGACAAACTCCTCTTGAAAAGAAAATGGAACACTCGCTCGGTTCTGGTCGGCCGATGAAGCATGTCGAACGAAAGGCTCTGTATACCCGCCTAGAGGCGCGCATCAATTATCTTCGAGACTTCCTGGACTTCAACTCAAGTGAGTGCTTGTCCTCATTGACCGTTGAAAACTCCCCAAACTGACCCTGATGGTGGGGACATAAGGCGACGTCGAAGCGCTGGTGGGAGGTTCCAAATACATCAAAGCCTTGATCCCGGCTGTCGTCAACATCGTCTACAAGAAACTCCTCGAAACCGACATCACCGCACGTGCCTTCCACACCAGAGACACCTCCGATGAGACCCCGATAGAAGAGTTCTTTACCGAGGAGAGCCCTCAGATTCAACGTCGAAAGATGTTCCTGCGATGGTACTTGACTAAGCTCTGCTCCGATCCGTCCCAGATGGAATTCTGGCGATACTTGAACAAAGTTGGGTAAGTTCACTTTGGACGAGACTGGAGGCTTCAAACCCATAGCAGGGTCGCATGCTGTGAGAATCAAGAGAATGAGAAGAAGGCTGACCAGCCCCAGAATGATGCACACGGCCCAAGAGCGTCTCTACTCGCTGAACATCGAATACATCCACATGGGCGCCTGCCTGGGCTACATCCAGGATATCTTCACCGAAGCCCTCATGTCGCACCCGCACCTCTCCCTACCACGCAAGATCGCCCTGATCCGGGCCATCAGCAAGATCATCTGGATCCAGAACGACCTCGTGGCGAGATGGCGCATGCGAGATGGCGAGGAGTACGCCGATGAGATGTCGGAGATCATCGTCGATGAGAAAGAAGGCTACCTGGGGGACAAGAAGATCCTGGGCGATAGCAGTTCGGGCACCTCGAGTGAGGATGATCGTTCCAGCGTCCGAAGTGGCAACGTTCCCACTCATACACCTGCCTGCCCTTTTGCTGACATGGCGCCAACTTCATCCCAAACAAAGATCTGGGCTGGGAAGTAAATTGGAGCCCGACTGCTGGGGCTGGGCTCTTTTTTTTTCGAGCCACACGGTAGTGTGGATTCCATCGTTGTGCTGAAAAGGTTATATAAAGGGGGCATGGAGCATAGCGGGCGTTAGGTATATATATTCCCGGACACTGATTTTTATTGGCTTTGTTGGTTTTGTTTTTTTTTTGTCTGTTCGTTTCTAGAGTATGCTTGCTCTCTCTATCTCGATGAAGTAACGCAGAAAGCGCGCCCCGTGGGGAAGGATAATCGACTCTAATTAGGCACTATGACGCCACCTCTTCCGTCAATAATCACGCAAATTCAAGTTTCCAGACCTTTATCATTCACAAGCTTTATAGATGGTGGTCATGTCGGCTTCGTTTGGGAGTAGGGGGGTTGTAAAGGGGAGAGATCCTGCATGTCATTGTCCCCTGGTTTGTGATCGACATGCAAGTGATTGGGGATGGGCCGTGGCCTGCGCTATCGTATCTAATCCCCGGACGCTCAGCGAGTCAACAAACATTGATCACGGTAGATAAGGGGATGGCAAGCATCAAGGACCGCATGTTGGATTGTCGAAATGCCGGAGAGTAAGTAGTACTTGAATAGGTCGGGTGTGTATCTACTCCGTAGAAGTGGTTGGGCCTTCCCGTCCACGGTCTGTCATGATCCATGCTAGATTAAGTAAGACCTGGGGACGCCACGAGTCACGGGATCCAATAAAGGACAAGATCGCCGTTGCAGCGGGCATGCGAGGGGCTCAATTAATGATTGTCATTGGATTGCAATGAAAAGGCTTCCCCTCCCAACCCCCAAACCTACTCCTTTAAGACGCTTTGAGAAAGCTGAATGGAGCAATTTGGTAGAGTACCTATGAGTAGTAACTTAGAGTACAGACGGAGTACGGAGTACTCCTAAGAGTATCATTCCAAGCATGATTGGTAAGCATGAATAAGATTTATGAAACCGAACCTAATGTCAGCGAGCTTCGAACTAACAGTTTAAGGGGAAGCGGCAACGGTTTGGACTGGGCGTCTCAACCGTCATCCGGCCGTCAACCTTAATATTCCCTTGCCCGGTGGGGAACCAAAAAAAAAGGCACGGAACCCAGCATAACCGACCGGCCTACTAAACAGGCAGACATACAGTACATGCACCATTCTTTGCACGTACGTCCTGCAGTCTGTACATATCAGATGCAGTCGAACACGCGATGCACTCATGGAAGCCACAAGGCAGTCAATTATCAAACTGACCAACTGACTAACTATGCATGCTTATCATGAGTACCAACAGCCTGGTGAATGTACCGTAGTTGCTTGCTGTACGTTAGATAATGAATGGCCGACTGGATTCGGCATATGTCCCCCACACCCCCAAGCCGAAAGTCAACGCCCATGGATGAGTGACATTTCTTTTCCCTTCTCGAGTTCTTAGTAAGTTAGTAGTTGGGGAAGCCGTTCCATACATTGGAAAGGTTCGGCTCCATCGCCCCTCTACTTTCCCATCCTTCCCCCCCCTCCCGGGCCAACCTCCCGGCATTTTCATCCCCTCACTTCGGTGGCTGCAGCTACACAACACAAGCGTCAGCAACCGACGAATAATTGCGCTGCCGGCCCCAACTCTTCTCCTGGATCATTGCTCGCTCTTCTGTCACCCTCTCTCTAGTCGATTGATATAAACACAACACCCCCCCTCCCCCTCGAACCTTGCCCTGAATCTCATACCCCTGCCCGCTGGGTCTCCCGAAGTCTCTCTCCCACGCACCTCGGCATTGGTCGCCACCAGCTTTCGATCTTGTTCCTTTCGAGATATTAGGCAATAGATCGATCATCCAAGTCACAATGATCGCTAAGAACAACACCAATGGTCTGCCGGCCATTATCCCCCTGATTGTCAACAATGAGTCGGTCATTACCGACGTCGCATTCGACGTCAAGAACCCCACGACGGGTGAAGTCATTGACCGTTGCGCCGGCGCCTCTGTCGACGATGCCAACCGTGCTGTGGCCGCCGCGAAGGCTGCTTTCCCCGCATGGAGCCAAACAAAACCCTCCGACCGCAGAGACATACTGAACAAGGCGGCGGATATCATGCTTTCCCGGAAGGAGGAGTTGATTCGATATCAGATGGATTCAACCGGGGCGGGTCGGATGTTTGTGGAGAAAACGTTCATGCTTGGGGTCGGGTTCCTGAAGGACTTTGCGGCATTGATCCCGTCCGTGGAGGGTGCGGTGCCTTCGGTCAATGGAGAATCTGCCATGGTCATCAAGCAGCCCTACGGAGTGGTTCTGGGCATTGCACCCTGGTACTGTACTCACCTCCCTATACCAGACCATTTTAACTGAAGTGGTCGGTTGATCATCTGATCATGAACTAACTCCGAACCAGGAATGCACCTTATATTCTCGGAGTACGCGCAGTGGCTCTGCCTCTGGCTGCTGGTAACACGACGATTTTGAAAGGCTCCGAATTAGCACCGAAATGCTTCTGGGCGATTGGAGACATCTTTCGTGAGGCGGGTCTTCCTGCAGGCTGTCTCAACGTGGTCTTCCATCAAACTTCGGATGCCGCAGCCGTGACCACGGCTCTCATCGCTCACCCGGCCGTGCGAAAGATCAACTTCACCGGCAGCACTGTCGTCGGCTCGATTATTGCCTCCACGGCCGGAAAGTATGTCAAGCCGGTTCTTCTCGAATTGGGCGGGAAGGCATCTGCTGTCGTTCTGGACGATGCCAATTTGGAGAAGGCTGCGATGTGCTGCGCCATGGGAGCATTCTTGCATGTAAGGACCATTACCTACCTGACACTCGGCCTACGTGTGACGTTTTCTGATGAGAAGTTAGTCCGGTCAAATCTGCATGTCCACCGAACGCATTGTTGTGCAGCGATCGGTCGCCGACCGGTTCAAGCAGCTGGTAGCCGAAGCGTCCGAAAAGGTATTCGGAAAGCATGTGCCGCCGCTGGGCCTCGTGAACTCGGCTGCCGTGAAGAAGAATAAGGGGCTGGTGGAAGACGCACTTTCCAAGGGCGCCAACCTTGTTTACGGACAGACCCAAGGCATCGATTCTAATAGCAACAGCATGCGGCCGGTCATTGTAGGCGATGTCACCAAGAACATGGATCTTTATGCCACGGAGTCGTTCGGCCCCACCGTGTCCTTACTTGTCGTTGATACCGAGGAGGATGCGGTGGCCCTGGCTAACGACACAGAGTACGGCCTTACTTCTGCGGTGTTTACGAGCAACCTGTTCCGAGGACTCAGGGTTGCTAAACAGATCGAAGCCGGGTAAGTGGATCGGTATCTTTGCTCAGGAGTATTTGTCCCTAACCTCACTTGCTATGACCCAGGGCTGTTCATATCAACTCCTTGACGGTGCACGACGAGCCGGTCCTTCCGCACGGCGGCTGGAAGAGTAGCGGATACGGCCGTTTCGGAGGTGTGGGTGGTTATGATGAGTGGTTGCAAACTAAGACTGTGACTTGGGTGGAATAGTCTGATCGGACCGCATGATCCACGCGCAACGATCCATGGCTTTGGCACATAACTTGCAAGCCCGGGGTCGAGGCCGGCCTTTCCGTCGTCGCAAAGGAGGGATCGGGTCGAGGCGACGGGCTTTCTCAGTTAGCCATTGGGACCCTAGCTGGCAGGATTACAGCGACGGTCTAGGATGTTTTCTTTGTTACGATACCCACTTACGGCAGGGTTCGACAGGGTAGAACCTAATCATACGAATTCCTCCAACCGAGTTCCCGTATTCAGGCGCTAAGTCCTTGGTGTAGCTCGGCAGCGTGTCAGACCCTTGAAATTTTGCGACGAGTGCACCCGAGGCTGCAATGTGCCGTAAGACTGTGGTCTTGTGTTGGGATTGATTGTTCCTGCCGTGTCACAGCCGCTTTCGCGCGGGTGTACTCCCGATCGTATCCCAATCTTCTGTCACAGAATGTGATGAAAGAGTACCGTAAATAGACATATATTTTCCCACAAGGCTTGCCAAGCTCGGAGGAGAGTAAGACAAGTCATCTGAATTAGGAAACAACCGACACGGTGAACCGGCCCTGCATAGCCGACTAAGCCAGTTCAGGCCCCCGTGGCCAGCTCTTCCCCACCTGTGAAGGAACTAGTTCTATCAGTCAGGTCGCAGTTTGCGATCAGATCCGAGACATAAGCAGTACGTAGTCTGATACCCTAGCTATACTGTAAGCCTGTAAGATAAAAGGACCCTACCTACTCGCAGGAGAGGAAGACCTCTGCTCTGAAAGGCACGTCGGTATTTATTTTGTTCTTTGGTCGGACCGCCCGCGAGTGACCTGGACCCCTGAAAAGAATCCCGGCGGTACGCATCAAGCATCTAGTTCGTAGAACCATTGTCGTGAGGTCAAGTTTGTTGCTTATTCTGGTGTTGACCTCGTGTTACTTGCCCAATGGGGAGGGCAGAAGGCCAGCCATCCCTCAGGAACGGTGCTGGATGACGGATGATGTTTTCGTAGAATCAGCATTAGATGCGATCATTGGCCGGGGGGGCGCAAGTCTGTCATCCATTGCGCTCAAAGTTTCTGCGGTCCAGGATCCAGGGCTGTGTTTGGCTGCCACTCGGACAGGGTCCCCACCTACCCGGTCAGGAACGAGAAATGAGCGACAGGAACGGAGCCTGAAAATCAGCGGGCGGCGAGGGTAGGGCCGTTGTGAACCTGTGTGGGATGAGAGATGACTTCATGTGTCACTGGAGGAAATCGGTGATCAGCGATCATCATTCTCACAAAGTCTCACTCGGCCAGATGATTGTTTCAAAATGAACATCCTACTATGTGCCTCCTGGAAGAATGCGCGGATCAACGGTCGGACAGAGAAGAGAGCACAGTGCATTATCATCACCAGGCTCAATGGTCAACCAACAGTGAGCAGTCAACAAACCTGGCTGAACTCCGAGGTCAAAAAGTCAAGATAGTGGGGTTGAACGAAGGTGGATTTCACAATCGGCTTGGCGTGGGATTTTAGTGTTTTTGCCTGCACGCCCAAAAAATCGGAGTTTTTCCAGGAGCCAATGTCGCCATCCAATTTGTGCAACGCTCCGACCTCGTGGCGCCTGCCTCATTTCCTGAAGGCCTGGGCTTGACTGGCAGACAAGGCAGTGTAAGATCTAATTTGGATGAAATGAAATCACAGGCTCAGCTGGCGAGAAATAAGAGAGTCTGGTGGTCTGAGAGTCTGAGTGCTGAGAGCTGAGAGGAGAACCGGACATTACCCGGACAATTGGAAAGAATGAGGAAGGAGGAAGCATGTGGCAGAATCCATTACTGCTGCTGCTGCTGTCGCCGCCCACCGCGTGCCACTTCCCAGTTCTCTTTTTTTTCTGCCTTTCGGCCTCTCTTACCTCTTCTACCGTACTTGTTCATGTAAATAATAAGATAATAACAATAACAAATCACTAATATTGCCGTGATCTATCCCTGTTCCTGAGCTGGCTCGCACATAAGGTTATGTGTGTTTCACTTGTACACTCTTAGACTCTGTTAGACTCCCCCCCCCCGACTCCATGATCTATGGCTCCATCCAGTCTGGTACCATGGGTGCCTGGATTAGTTCTATCTACTAACGATTCTAGTTCATCAACACTCGCCTTCATTCAGGCGAGAACACTCTTCGCCTCCGTCCTCGGATGTCGGCCATCCCCTATTCTTGTTCTCGTTGAGTCAGTCCGTCAGTCAGTCAGTCAATTGAAATTACCCGCCCAGTGCTGGTATCATAGACTATTGATGGAACGGACTGGTTACTTCCCCGTCCAGCAGCAAGCGATGGCGGCGATGCTGGGATCCAAGCGAGCTAATACAGCTAATTCTCAGACTAATCCGCTGGATGAGCCAGTGGGAGGACAGAAATCACACTGAGGTGACATCGCTAAATCTTACTAGGAAATCCAGACGGGGTTTCGGGGTGGCTAAAGAGGCTTGCAGCCATACATTCCACGGCTCTTCAGGGTTTTGGCCTGGCATCCCCCAACCCTCGACCGGGCAAGTCATCCGTAGTATGTATGTATGTATCATCTGGGTATCTCACTAAGTTCTAATATACTCATCCGTCGCAAAAGTAATTTCACTCTGCCCCACCGTCGCAAATGAGCCGCAGATTGGGCCAGGTTGAAGGTCTGGCAGCCTGGAAGCTTTTCCTTCTCGCCCCCTCCATAGGGGTAAGCCCGTATTATTGTACTCCGTTAGTAGTAGAGATGGAGTGAGATGACGGGAGGCTTCACTAATTTCGCATTTCACATATCATCTTTAAACCTCCCCCCCCCGCCCCCTCGTTCATTTTTCTTCTCTTCCTTCCCTCCTTCTCAACCCACCCTTCGTGTCCTTCGTTCTTTACACACCATTCCCACGGTAGTCACTCTTTTGCACTACAGACCATCTCGAGTCTTAACCCTCCAGTCACTCCTTGATTCACTCACTTTTCACGAAGGAATTTCTCCCTCTCCACAACCTAAACACGTAAACCACAAATCAAAATGCGTTTCTTCGCCGTCATCTCTGCCCTTGCTGCCCTGGCCTCGGCCTACACCCAGCCCGACTACACCCAGAGCCCTACTGGCAATGCCATCTACACTCCTGGCCTAAACGACCAGGTCGAGGCTGGCAAGGCCTACAGCGTCACCTGGGATCCCACCACCACCGGCAAGATCTCGCTGGTCCTCCTCCACGGCCCCAGCACCAACATGCAGACCCTGTACGCGATTGCCGAGGACATCGACAACACCGGCAGCTTCTCGTGGACCCCCAGCACTGATCTGGCGCCCGAGACCACCCACTACGGTCTCCTCCTCGTCGTCGAGGGCACTGGCCAGTACCAGTACTCCACCCAGTTCGGTATCACCAACCCCTACTACTCGTCCTCGTCCGCTGCCGCTTCCGCCACCACCTCCACTGCCGCCGCTACCACCTCCGCTGTCACCGAGGCCGCTGCCACCACCACTGCTGCCGCTACCACCACCGAGGTTGCCGTCAGCGCCGCCACCACCTCCACTGTCGCCGAGACGGTGGACGCCACCAAGCCCGCTGCCACCTCCGTCCCCGTCATCAAGCCCACCGGCTTCGTGACCTCCAAGCCCTCCGGTGTCATCTCCAGCTCCGCCGCTCCCTCCGGCACCCCCGCTGCCAGCTCCTCCTCCGTCTCCCCCATCTTCACCGGTGCTGCTGACCGCAACGCCATGAACCTGGGCATGGGCGCCCTGGCCGCCGGTGTTGTTGCCGTCCTTGCCATCTAAACTGGCCCAGCATGAGCTTGAGCTTGGCGATGATGTGGATTTGCAGCTGTGACGAAGCTTAGTTTGATTGTTCATATTGCTTTGATACTTCTTCGACCAGGACAAATTTGAAATAACTTCGGATGTATTAAGCTTTGTTGTTTTTATCTTTCTGTACAAGACAAACCCCCTTCCCCGGTGCCTCCCCGAGCATGTGGAATTACCTTTCTTCGACATGATTTCTTTTCTATTCTAGTTCTCAGTTAATACCCCCCCCCTTTATTTTGACAAACATGAATGAACCTCCAAGGGAGAAAATACCTGATGACCAACAAACAAGAAGAAAAAAACCAGGGACCCTCCTTCCCCCTATGTTTGATGTTTTACATGTATGTTTGCCGTCACTCTGCCCAAGCAAATAACTTGCAACGTTGATGGGGGGATGTTGGGTTGGTGGCCCTTTGTACTAATTTGATCTCCCACTAATGTTTCATCTTAATGAAATCAGCCCCTCGGGGGTGACACTTACTCGAATGATCCACGATCCGCTTAATAACCATCATTAAGAAACTGGAAATTGCTAACGGGGCCGGGTCGGAGATTTGGTTCTCCTTCCAAGGCTGACATGCACGTGTGTGGGACGGGATCGATCACTAGTACTGAGTAGAACACGATTGTCTCAACGGGCGCGGGAGGCACTTCTACTCAGCACTTCTATTTCCTTAATCTATTCCATGCCACTACTCACTTAAATTGCCACTGGAGGGAGGTTAATCGCGGCTCGGGACTTTCCGGTCGTTGCGTATACGTATACTTCTGTCTGGAGTTGTTGAACTTGGGAGACAGTAAAGAAAATCCGGTAGTTTTAAGTCTGCTGGGCGTCACGCCAGGAAGTGGAGGTCTTGGTGGCCTGGAAGAGCAGGGCACCTTTTGCATAGGTACCTACTCCTACGTTTTACAGGCTGATGGAGGATTTGTTGGTCCGCCCATGCCTGCGACCAACTACCGGCATTGATCGTACACACCACGAGCGCATTACCAGCGAAGCTTAAACCACTAGCTGGCTTCTCTATCGTGTTGGTGTGACCAAAGGTCGCCAGAGCTCCTACCGTGGCTGAAACAGCTATACTAGTAGATGTATAGTGTATGCTGATTTTCTTATGAAGAGGATATTTGTGCATCGCTCGCTGCCCAGGAACTTTCCCCCTTAGACCTGTTGAATAATATACAACGGAATGTCCTCACCCAACCCAATTTAATGTGCAAATGGATCATCACGGACAAAACCATCATCAATCGCAGCGCCAAACCCCCCTCGAATAAGTCTACAGCACCCATGGCCAAAGTACAACCCAACAGAAACCAAACCCCCAACTAAACCCATGGGCAAGAGAATGTATGTATGTATCCAACGGAGCGACCAAACCAACCAAAAGCCCGCAAGAAACCACCTACCCTCACGTGACAGATAAGATCGATCGACTCCAGCGATAAGCAATTTTTCCCATCCACATCCCAACCCAGCAACCACAGCACCTCGCAACCCCCTCCCCAAATTCCATCTCAAACCCATCGCTGCAGGCAGTGTACCCAACCAAACCAACCAAACAGAAAAATGGTCCAAGGATCCCTCAAGAAGACCAAGCCCTCGGGCGGCTCGACCTCGAAACGGTACACCTTACCTACTCTTCTCCTGGCAGAGCAGTTCTACCTACCCCAGACTCATTCCCATCCCCTTCCCTTCTCCCTTCCCTCTCCAACAGAACAACCCCCCCCCCTTCACAAATCCATCTCTGCATGCATCACAATCACCATCAAAACGAGACTAACCTGCAAACGAATCAACAGTCCCACAGCCCTGGCCCCCAAACGCGGTCCCCGCCAGATCGCCCCCAAGAAAGCCTCGCTCATCAAGCAGCAGAAATTGACCAAAGTCCGTTGTCTTCCCCTCTTCTCAAACGTCCACCACGATGACTACACCCTGTCCCAAAACTGGCGCAACTAACACCTCCCCGACAAAACAGAAACTCACGGCCGGATTGACCGCCCAGACGGAGAAGAATCTCGCCGAGAAGGCGGGCCACCTGGAGTTGTTGGCCGGTGGCAAGAAGGATAAGAAGGCGGGTGCTGCGAAGGGGAAGAAATGATAATTCGCGGGAAAATGGTTTGCTTTTTTGGGTCCGGAAGTGGAGGGTGGCTCTGGTTGAAGATGATCAAGCCGAGTCGAGGAGGGGATATACATATTCAATTTTTGGAGGGGAGATAGGATACATACATACGAGTAATGAAATTAGATACCCTTTTTTTATCTGGATCTGGCCGCTGGGGCTGCGTTGGCTTTATTGGTTGGGTTTCGTTGGTGCTTCGTTGTTTTACGAAGGCTGTGTGGTGCGTGAGGTGAAACCGGAAGACACCCGAATTCTATGCAGATGTAGATCTAAATCCAGGAACAAACTATAAAACAAAATTATGTATGAGAACAGTAGTCATATGTCCAAAAAAATGTACAGGTGACCAGGTACCAAACAAATCAACAATCATCAATCATCATCGTCTTCGAAAAAAAGAAAAACACAAAACACGCTTCAAAAGGGTATCTCAAGTGCAGTCAGTATCAGTCACTCCGGCGCTTCTTTTGCCTCCTTGTGGAAGGGCCGTTCACATCTTCGACATCCGGATCGGAGCCCCCGACTGCTCGATCAGCTCTTGCCCGTGCTCAACCCAGCGAGCAAAGCCGTCGTCAGTGGGATCGCTAGGGAAATCATCCCAAACAGGGTTCTCCGAGTCCGCATACGTAGACCACGTCCCCTTGGGCACCTCTGAGGCGGACCACGAAGGAAGCTTCGCCATCACACAAGTGTAGTAAACGTAAAGGATCCTGCACAGTAGATGAACCCGATCGACGTAGTGCTGTTTGCTGGGGTCAGGTTCACGACCCCCATCTCCGAGTTGCTTCCACCAAGACATGCGCCAACGCAGAGTCAGCAGTATGTGGCCGAGTTCGCTGAGGAATCGCAGGTGCGTATCCTGAGAGATCTGCTTCCACTTGATGTTGTAGAAGTCACGTTCCAGTTTGCGGAATCCCTCAACTTCAAGCATACGGCAAATGATGCGCGACAACTGGGCCGCCATGAGAATTTCTCGCCTATCTTCAGCGTCGTCAATGTTCATTGGTCTCTCGGCGCCACCCGCCTGAAGAGGAACAAAGCTGTAGCTCGCACGGCTAGGCATGTTGTTCCATTTCGCGAGAAGAGTCTGTCGAGTAACATTAGTAAAAGGCTTCGGACCTTAGTAGGAGTGACATACATAAGTATTGGCCATTGGATCACAATCCTTCACGCACGTGAGCCAATTCTTCGATTTGTCTTTCGACTCGACGAGTCGTCGGTCAACAAATTCAAGGAAGGTCGACTTCGAGTTGCCATTATACTCGCTCAAGCCACGCAAAAACCGATAGGTCTCCGCCAAATCCAGGGTATAAAGAGATCCCCAGGACTGGCTGGCACGGATGTTGAACCGGCCTTGGCGTTCGCCGAGGAATGAAATCAAATCATTCAGATCGAATTCGGAAGGAATCTCCATCCGCACTCGCCTTGAGCCATCCAGGGTGGGGTGGTTGACCGCTCGTTGAGCTGATAAAATTAGCCAGGTTGCAAAATCGACAACTAGACCGTGGCACGTACAGATATAATTGCAAACACCATACTCAACGATGTTGGAAAAGCAGGCGCGAGCACAAGGCTGTTCATGCAGCGTAGGGCGGCACGCATCGCAGGGAGCATTCCCATCGCACTGTCTTCGGCGTTAGCTATTTTACTACAGAAGGGTGTTTCTCTTGTGAAATGCGAACCTTGCGCTTGTTCAATCGGCACTGGACACACGTGTCCTTGTTTTTCCTTCGCAATCCAGCATTTGCCCTTCCGACCATAGACAGAGGCCCCTTACGGCGCGCTCCACGAGGCGGAGAAATGAAGTCAGCGGAGGCAATCGAACCGCCCTGGCCATCCTCTTGCACAATCTGCAGTGGTTTGGGTTGTGCCTGATCCAGGTTCACACTAAGGTTGCGCTGCTTGCGCTTTCGAACCGTAGCGACCGACTGCATAGATAGAGCCTGTGGGCGTGCAGGCGCTCGCTGAGTGGCAGAAGACGCTCTCGGCCGAGAATCGACCGGAACGTAGTAGGATTCCGCCGGGTTCTCGCTGACCATGAAAGCAGTAGCGTTCTGCAGGGGTTGCGCTGCGTCGGATGGTGAACCATCATTTCGCGCATCCTTCCATTCATCATCAAACTGTCGGTCGGCGAAAGCGGGGATGCCGTCCGTTGTGACCGAGTAAGGGTCGTACATGGTGGAGAAATCCCCAGACACTGACGAGCTCTCCGACTTGTACTGAAATCCGTCTTGATTTTTGGGTTCTTCTTTGAAGTAGGGGGACTCCTGCGGCATCGTCATTGACGCAGGGGAGGTCATGTTGCTTGGTAACTGAGCCTCCAAGCTATCTAGCCAGCGTGAATCCAGAGACCGTACATGCCCGTGATAGCTGCGCATTCCCTTAGTCGCTGACTGCGAGCCCATTGCGAGCGACATCGGACTCTGACGGGAAATGTTTTCAGCAATGGCGGCGGGCTGTTCAGACCAGTATTCCGGTGGGGGGAAGGAAAACGACGGCGGCAGTGGCTGGAACGGCCCGAACTGATCGGAGGCAATATCTGAAAATCCTTGTCCCTGAGACAGGTCTCCAGAATCTTCGACAATGACGGTGTTGGTGGAGGCGACAGGCTCCTTGGCGTATGGATAAAGGAGACCAGGTTCGCCGGGAATGCCAACCGAAATGGCGTTGAACAGGTGGTGGTAAGGCGGCCATGACTCATCCAGCTGGAAGTTGTCATCGGCGGAGGAAGGCAGCGTTCTAGGGCTGATAGTGGCACTGACAGTGCCAGAGATTGTGCCATCTACTATGCTGAATTTGTCGGGGGTGGAGGTTCCTGGTTGTTTACTGCAAGGGGCGGCGGCTCGCGCATCAGCCGGAGGGGTTCAGAAGAGGGGAACAGCTGAGATAACCGCACCTGTAGTCACTGCCCTGATAGTCGTCCGGCTGTCCGATAATCGAGACTGTGGATTGGTCCCGCGAGAGGGAGCCATGAGGCCCATTTATCTCGACAATATCGGCATCGCCCTGGCTGGAATCTTGGCTCGTATCCCACTCCTGCGGTTGTTCGTAGCCCGGATGCTCGTACGCAGAAATAGGAAAGTTGTCAGTTTGCCAGGTCTCGAGGATTTTGGGGTCAATGCCCGCAGCGGTGCCAGTACTCCCGCAGTCCATACAGGGTCTGCGAGGGATGATTTAATAAGACCTCGAAGAGCTGGCCAGAACTCTAGCGCGTTCCCAGATTGTTGGGAACCGGCGGAGAGTCGCGCGGGAAAAAAGCACACTCGGGGAGGCGGGTGGGCTTGGGTTTGCGATAGCGGAGGACGGACGATGGAGGGGAAATGGGATGGACGTCGAAGTTGATGATGAGAAGAAGAGGAGGGAGAGGAGAAGAAGAAAGGAGAAGAAGATGATGATGGTCTGATGGCGCAAGCAGGAAAATCAAACCGAAAGATCGTGGCTGACTCTGTCTGGTTGGTTTAGTTTGGTTTGGGTTTGGTTTGGGTCGGAGTGAGTGAGTTGAACAATAATACTGAAATACTCAAATGTCCCCACCAAAGATTTTGCTGCTGCGGCGATCGGCCTCTACACACATACGTCGATGTCTTGTCGCAACAATTCCTTTCGCACAGACCAGTCAGCTTGCAGGTTTCTTGCCTGGTGCTCGACCATGAATCTGGGCAGATCAACTATTTCTGGGTGGGACTGATTCCTTGACCGGTACTCCGTAGTTTGTGATTGTGACCCAAAAGGTCGAGATGCATGCATGAATGTACACGAGTAGTTATGTTGATATCTGGGTTTTTATCTACAAAGGGTTACGGATAGTCAGTCTCATACACAATGGGTTGTGGCTTCTTGGCAGGAGAGGGGTTTTTGCTGCTGCCGTGGATCATCCAAATCATCTGAACCGTGTCTTGAAACCACTCTTCGTTCGCTAGAAGATCCTCTTTCTAGTGTCGGCTATTATTATACAAGTCCCGTCCTGCAACCTTGAGGAAGGAGGATTGAGGATGGAGACTCATGCATCTCACCTTCTGACCACCGACCACTAACTAGCCCTGGCGTGATGTGATATACGATCTGATAGTGTCTCCGAGAACTCCGAGCCTGACATGACAGATGGAGATTACGCGAGAGATTCAGTGGAAATACTCCATCAAGTATTATGATTCTGCGTATTGATGGGAAGTTCGGCACGGGCTGATGTCCTCCGTGCGGCGTGATGAGGCTAGTCGCCTGAAGGTTCTACCTAAACTTCTCAAGACCCCAAGCCTCAAGGACTCAAAGAATGGTAAGGACCGTAAGGGCAGGGCAGAAGATAGGTGGTTGGTGGCTCCATCGTAGCCCCGCCGCCGCAAGGAACGGACGGCGTTTCTACTAAGAACACCATAAGGACCGAGCAATCACAAATCAAGGACCGCTTGGAAGCGATTCTAGAAGCCCCTCTCCTCTTGTGCAATGAATAGTCCTTGCAAAATTCATCGTGGCCCCATCAGGGTCTACCATTGACCGTCAACAAGAAGAAAATTTTCTCGATAAGAGACCGGCCGATCCGTAGATGACGGCACAATGGACCTAGACCTTAGTAATTGAGACCACACACAGCTACTCCGTACACAGCACAAGGCAATGGTTCCGTGCATGTGGGTGATGCATAGGCGAGATCCTACACACACTTGACGGGCTGATATGTCTGTAAATATCCAGCTCTGCTCCGTGGGCTGGTGGTAACATGAACCTAAATGTTGTTGGCCTGGTCTGCTCCATGCCCTAGACATTCACCTCAACTATAATGTCCGAGTCGATGCTGTTGCCCTTTGCGCCTTCACAATTGAGTTGAATTGCTCCCAGGTGCCCTTCATTTCCTCGACTAGGGTCCCCGTCTGCTGTTTGAGGGCTCTGGCGTATTGAGCTGAGGTTGTCAAAGAATATGGACATAAAGCACCCCTCCCCCAGCTTTAGCGAATTCCAGCGTCTACTTATAAGACCATCCCAGTGGTTATTCATTCTGCCACCGGGACTGCACCCGGTAATATACACCGTAGACTGGGGTGCAATTGAGCCGGTGTGAACTCCCTCAGCCGGTTGCACAAAGTCACTGCCGCGTTTCTCTGCCAGAATTCCCTTTCTCTTACCATTAGAAATCGAACGATTCGTGGCTGATCGGAATGTGTTTCCCCACGAAGCCGACTACAGACGGTGTTGGCAGCTTCACCGCAGACTCTTTTTGGCGGACCCTCGGCTTCCCGTTGGTAATGCTTGGTTTCGGACGGTAATTTTCCCCCTGGACACAGCCCCCACCACTGCAAGCTCGACTGTTCTGCGCTCGTCACACCGACAATACCAAGTCTCCCGAGACCTGCCCATTCCATCGGCCCCCCCGCAGCATCAAGAGCTTCACCGTGACCAGATTCGAGATGCGGTTGCAATTCTCCCCGGTTTCTCTTCGCCGGTCGGGGTAAAATGGGGTCTGGAAGGGTGAAAGAACGGAATTGGTCTCTCCGGGGCTGAATATTGGCCAGTCTCAGATCGACCCTATAAATGCAGGATGCCGTTCTTCTTCTTCTTTTTTTTTTTTTTTCTTTTTTTTGTCTGGGGAGAATCCGGCCCAGTAGGACGTCGAATACCGAATTGGAGTTTCCAGGGGAGAAATTCTTACGTATGAGTCGAAACTCCGCCTATTTCCCGCACTAAACCCTTTTCATCGACGTCCACCGACCCAAAGCGAGCAAGCCGAGTCTAGCCTGAACTTGTCGACTCAGGGCTGCCTCGGGCTATACTATACTACGGAGTACTACTGTATAGTTAGTACCGTCTATACTTTACCTATACCATTCATACCATCCAAGTACACAAGCCAGTACTAATCAACTTGCTCAACATGCATATCCTGGTATGCTTATGTTTCTCTCCTCCTCAATCCAATCAATTGAATTATGATTTACTTGCGCTTCAAAAAGGAAAAAAAAAGTCACCACCTCGACTACCCAAGAAAAAGGACCCATACTAAAACCCATCTGCCTTCCCGCTCCCACAGGTTGTGAACGACGACGGACCTCCCTCGCGCCGCCTGTCTCCATACATCCAGCCGCTGGTCTCCGCCCTCCAAGCCGCGGGCCACCTCGTCTCCGTTGCCATCCCCGCCGCCTCGCGCTCCTGGATCGGCAAGGCACATCTCATCGAAGCCTCCCTGAAAGCCACCTACGTCCCGCCGCAAGCCTTCCACAACGACGGCACCTGGAACGAGACCTACACCCACACCGGGCCCAATGACAATGACACCGATTCCCCCACCAATGGCACAACAACTACAACCCGCGCAACCCCCAGCAGCGGCAACCCCAACGACGAATGGGTGGTCATCACCAACGGCACGCCGGCCAGCTGCGTGCAACTCGGGCTCTTCAACCTCTTCCCCGACCGGCCCCCGATTGACCTGGTCATCTCCGGCCCCAACCACGGCCGCAACGCCTCCACGATCTACAACCTCTCGTCCGGCACGGTGGGCGGCGCCCTCGAGGCCGCCACCTGCGGCAAGCGCGGCATCGCCATCTCCTTCGGCAGCAAGGAGGAGCAGCCCGCGCTCGTCATCGCGGCCGCCGCCCGCCTGGCCGTGCGCGTCGTCAACCACCTGATCGCCCACTGGGACGAGCGCGTCGAGCTCTACAACATCAACGTCCCCATGCGCGACGACGTCGAGTCCCGGCCCGTGCTGTGGACCCGCACCCTCCCCTACTACTGGGCCAGGGGGTACCTCTACGCCGAGGCGGACAACCCCAACTGCTCGGAACAAGCCAACGGAGTCTCGGAGACGCAGCAACGACCCGCAACGACACTCAAGCAACGCGACTTCAAATGGGGCGCCCAGCTGTTGGACATGAAGAAAGCGCTGCAGGCCAGTGAGGAGGGGACGGATGCCCATACCGTGCTGAATGGGTGTACCAGGTAAGCAAGCAAGCAAGCTGGATTTTGGCATCATTGGGGCAACGAGCAAAGGCGCGCGATCGTGAGAGAGGAGCGAGCGGCGAATGCTGTAACTCGTTCTCCGATTCAAGTTGCATTTGTTCTTGAGAGTTACTGGGCTAATTCTGGTGGGGTTTCCCTTGTCGCATAGTGTCACCGCCCTTCGCGCGAACTTCTGGCATGTTCCTGGCTTGGAGGGAACTTTGGAGTTGGAATGATGATGATGATGATGATGATGATGATGATGATGATAGATTAAGTTCAAAAGTATATATCACGATTCGATCAATATGCATAATCGGATAAGGTGGAGGGGGGAACAACAAAACGACATCCTTTCATGCATGGGACGGGATCGGATGATTATCACGTCCTCTTTTCTTTTGCGACAATTAGATATACCCGCAACGGTTCTTTTGGTTTATTTACTTCTGGTTCTACGCTGCATTATGTTCGACTGGATCTTGGAAAGGAACTCGATATATATACGATGGCTTTGATTATCTGTTTGGAGGGGCTTGGGAAGGAAAAAATGATTTCTGTCTGAACATTCAGTCATGATAAGAATTATGCAGACTTTCTTGGTTATATTTCTGCTTCAGTATGCGGATATTGCGCTAATTAGATGGACGGATGAATTTGGTACGCCGGCTACGGCGCAATCGCAAGATGGATGGTAATATCATATGACAAGGAAAGAAGAATAGAACCCAAACAGTCGGCAGGAGTATCATTTGCGGGAATATCAGATGGGCCATGAGGAGCTTAGGAAATTGGAACAGAAAGAGGAAAAAACAATAGACACCGAGAACCGTGGCAGACATTACCCTGATGCCTACAGCGCCCGCGCTAACTCACCTGCACCGCTCTCGACCACCGAGGCCTGCTCAGCACGCATCTTGCCCTTAGCCGCAGCCCTCTCGCCGACACCCATGCGTCGGGCGACGTAGCGTTGCGCGACAACCCCGACGGCCAGAGTAAGGGACTCTTCGATCCACTCGGCGGCCCATTCGCGGGGATCCACGCCGCCGCCCTGGATAATCTCCGCGATTTCCTCGGGCACGACGGTCTGAGGCAGGTTGGCGTCTTCGCTGTCAGCGTCGTCAGTGGGAGCCGCCGTCGCCTCGAGCCAGTCGATCCATTTCTGAGGAACAGCCTGGGAGAGCGTGTGGAAGGCGATGCCGTGGATGGGGTCGTGGAGATATAGCGCAAAGACCACCTCGTCCTCAGTCTCGGCTGGAGCGTCAACGACTCCTGGCGGGGTGGCTTTTTCAGTTGTGGGGCCCGCCTGGAAGAGGTCCGCCGCTGTGGGCTGGCTGATGGCTTGGATGGCTAGGAAGATATCGCTACTGCGGACGGGGTTGCTTTCGCTGAGATCTTGAGTGGCTTGTTTCGCGGCTTCCTCCACTCCACCCCTGGCGGAAAAGAGCTCGGTGGCATAAGCTTCGGCGCTTGCGCGGGCGAGCTTGGTGGCTTCGACGGAGCCGCGGATGGCCGAAAGCGTACGAGGGTGGCCGGGAGTGACCGTCCGCCACCAGGGCCCATCGTGCCATCCGGGTCCCGAAAATTGAAGACCGCCGATATCGAGTCCGCGCTTGGGCGCTGACTCCTGGCCGCGCTGGATGACGAGAAGATCGCCGCCCTCCACCTGGGCCATCACCCGGGAGAAGACTGCGTAGACCAGGGGGTCGATGCTGGGGTATCCGGAAAGGTCGTGAGTAATATGGATCTGCAGACGTTCATGAGAGGAGATCGGAGGAGCGATGGTGTGGATTAGGGATGTGAAGGTCGGGATGGCCATGTTGCGAAGCTCGCCGCCTAGGAACCGAAGTCAATACATGTCCATATCTGAAACAGTCTTCTAGAAGACCATACCTAAGTCTCTTAATGCGCCGACATTTCCCTTGACCTGCTGTGCCCATTTCTGCGCTTCCTCATTCTGCTGGATCTCCTTCACAGCGGCCTCGGCCTGCTTCATGGCGGCCGAAGCAGTTGCGAAAATGCCCCCCCACCATCCACCGCCACCGCCGCCACTAGATGTAGCTGCCTCTGTTGCGACGACTTTCTCCGACTCGGGTTTGATAACATTGGTACTCTTGTTTTCCGGGACCGAGGCTCGCACACTTTCACCCGATTTCCGAGGGACGGGTTTCTCCTCGCTGGCCCGACCGGCCGCAGCGGGCTTGGGTGACTTGATAACTGGACGGGGTTCGTTGGTCGATACACGTGGGGTCCCCGGGCCACTGCTAGGACGCTGAGCAGTCAGGCTGTCCAGCTCAGCGAAGATGTCTTGTTCGGACTGCGTCGTCGCAGTAGCGGGGGGTTTGGAGGCAGTCTTGGAGGGTTCTTGATCGACGGCCGACTCCACGGTCAAATCGTCAAATTGAGCTAGAAGCTCATCATTTGTGGGTTTTGAGGACTTGGGACGCATGGTGACGCTTTATGCGGACGCACTTTAGAAAATCAGCTCTGATATGTCTGTATGTGCGATGAGGAGGGATAAAGAAGGAGAACAATCGATGCTGGTGGAGTGAAGCTCTCTTGGTTATTTTGGGCGGTGGAGACGGGATGACCTGTGCCAAGAGGCTCAAGTGCGTGGCCGCCTTCCACCTTTGACAACCAAGGCTTGTATGGGCTAGTATGGAGGGGAACCATAAGTTATCTACTCGAGCATCATCGGAGCTTGGGCATAGCAGAGATCAGTCACTATGCAGTACTATACCTAATGATGCTTTGTCACTTTGAGAGCATTGAGTATTGAGCTTTGCGCCAAACTAGCGCCCCCTTTTCGTTATCATGCTTCTTGTATGGTGTTTGTTTGTTTATTTTGCCAAACAATCCCAACGGTGACTACTAGTAACTACTCCATGCAAGTGGAGGTCAATATGAGCAGGAAGATCCTTCTGATCATCTTTTTATAGCCTTCTTGCCGATATTCTCGGAGCAATGTCAGAAATCGGTCAATGCTAAAGTTGGCCTCTGTCGCATCGAAGTTTATTCTGAAAAGTCTCTCGGTTTTAGCCATGATCAATATCCACTCTTCACACCGCCTGTAGATCGATCGATCCCACTAAGATATACTTAGTAGTCTGAATTCTTTTTAGGGATCATCAGACTGCCACTGCTAGTCTTGTCTCCTATCTCTGCAACACATCTCGGGACAAGTGGATGTGCATTACTCACGGAGAGTTCATGGTGACGATTGTAGAGCCGTGACCTAGAGGCTGCCTGGCCCAGCTTCATCTTCCTCGTTTGTAAAGGCGAAATGACGAGATCAAAGGATTCTCCAAGCTTCTTTGATCTTGACATATGATATCTCACGATGATTGCGCGGAATGGGATCCCGCCGGCACGGTCAGATCATACTATGGCCACACAACTCCTTACAGATGAGTGAAGTGTGCCCGAGGTTGATTCGTCGACTTCACAATCCATGGTCCACCGGATCTGACCTGTACTTCTTTACAACAAGGCTAAAACAAGGAATTAATTATTCTCTTTTTCCAGAAAAGCTCATCACAAAGCCACCAGGCCATATACAACCCTCACATGCTACTGCTGAAAGCCTGCTATGACTGCGAGCTATCTCAGTGACATTCGCAATGATCAAATTAGGGTGGTCGTAGCCCGAGTGATTCCTACAGCCCAAGTCGCTTTCACCAATGCTTTAAACACTTTGAGTTCTCAGATCGTGATCGATTCATTCCCAAGATAAGCCGTCTCTTTACCGGGACACAAGAGTAGTAACACGCCGTCGATCATGATCGAGTGCAAAAGGCGCACTATTCGGTCCTTGGCGCCTAGCGACCCTTCTGGCCACCCGCCGGCGGACAGAGATAGATTACAGATAAAGAGGACGCATGGCATAAAATAAATTGATTCCCACCTTCTTTTGCATCCATCGACTTGCGCATTCATTGTACTACACAGATCAGACCTTTCCACCCGGAAAGTCATCGCCAATTTAGCCGCAAGTATCCCGATATCAATTACAGGTACAAGGCCCCTACACTAGATAGATCGTGGCACCCAAGAAGTTAACAACGTGCAGAGGACATACCTTGAAGGTTGACCGACCTTCAGAATAGCCCGAACATTCATCATGCGCCTCCCATATGTTGCAAACCCCCCGGAGACGAGCGATGCTGAGGAAGCTGAGATCCTAGCACAAACGCAAGCCCGACGTGCCCCCGGAACGCTGCTACCTCTGGACTTGGCACTGATGCACTCGTTTCCAGTCACGGATGGCTGGAATTCATTCATGGGCGCCCTTCGCACGAGGACGAGTCTCTCGACCATTATCCGTGAGCTGATCATGTGTCGTGTGGCTGTCCTCAATGATGCCTTATTCGAGTGGGAGCAGCACGCTCCGTTGCTGAAGGCAGGAGGATTCAGTGACGAAGCGCTAGAGCTGATTCGGCAACCAGGCATCTGTCCAGAGGCACAGAAAAGGGCGCTCAGCAGGGAGGAAAGCGTGGTGCTGAAGTATACGGACGCTATGACCAAGACGGTCAAGGTGCCGGAGGAGATCTTCCAGGAGGTCAAGGAGTGTTTCGATCATAAACAGGTGGTGGAAATTACGGCGACGGTAGCGGCCTACAACGGTGTTAGTCGCTTTTTGGTTGCATTGGATGTGGGAGAGAGGAATCATGCTAAATGCTGGCATGTCTAATTGAATGGTATCTCTATAGATCTTTAATTTTCGGCAGCTGGATCTTCCATCTTCGACACAATGCCGGGGGGTGATTAAACATGTATTGTCAGTTTTGTTCGGTGTTGTTGCTCCGAGGAGTATGTTTTACGAGTATCACATAAGTACAAAGTGAATATAGTCGATTAGCGATAAACAACCGCGAGGAAACCGGGCCCACCGAGCCAAAAAGTGTCATCAACAAGGCATAGGCATAATGACATTTTCATAACATAGTTATCCGATACATTCCCGCCCTCTTCTTTACATAAAAGGTAGTATAAAGTGCGCACTCACCACGGATTCATTCCGGGACATTCCACAGGCCAAGGGGGTAGGGGTCTAAACCATCAGGAGGATTTCCGCAGTCAATCAGGCCATTGTCGACAAGGGTGTTGAGACTTTTTCCCCTCATAGTATACTAATCCAGCTTCCACTACTACTTGGATCTGGTTTCTATTCTCCCTCTTAGTTACTATTGACTACCTGAGATGATGTCACGTACATCGGGTGACGATACTTACTTACTCCGTACCAAGCATCAATTCCGATGATAGCGCGGAAGACGCTGAGCTTCTTGTTGGCTAGACACAGTTCAAAATGTACTGTACAGTTCACACGAGACGGATATCAATTCAATTGTACCTGGCACAGTCTTATATCGCAGCATATCGCAGCATATCAATCAAGAAACCCACTAGGCTAGGAAAATAAGATGAAAGATGGGGGGGGGATGAAACGGATAGTCAATGACCGACGCGGTAGTCTTGCCATGGGCAAATTGGTTTTATTGAGGGAAATACCAGTTACCGTCAGGAAATCACCGGGGAGTAGACAACTACAGTGGCTGTCATTGGCTCCCAGGGCCATTGAAATGGCTGCATGAGGAATCGGACCGGAAGATGGGTTTGTTCCGGAACATCCAGAGTCAGAGATTCGCTGCGGGCATGGATCCAGAGTGGTAGAGAAAAAGGGTAATCGGCGTAAGGTACGGTCACGGCGAGGTACGAAGTTAGTTTACCTTCAGACTCACTTTACCTACAACAGTTTAGTGTGGTTAATTAGACTTACCTTACTATTACTACTAACCTACACAGTACCACGCAGTCTGGTGTGTGTGTGTGTGTGCCAGTTCTACTACAGTACTAACTTACAGGTAGTTAGTTCCAGTGAGTGAAGGCGACTTGACTTGCTGGCTGTAGTAGTTTACAAACTCTAGTCGCTTTTTCTTTTCCTTCCCCCCCCCAAAGTATTCAACTTCGACTACTACAACATCCCACAATCTTCTCTACTTACTTACTTCTCCTACTGTTTGCTTTGAACCTCGGATCATGTATTGAATTTTTCTCCCACTGCTATCTACTGCTATTGCTTCTACCCACCTAATTTTACCGTCATCTCCCTTTCTTTTTCACCCTCTTCTCCCTTCTTCCTTTCGCACACCTGCCTACTTCCAGTCCGGCAGACTTCATACTTCCCACTGTTACCACCAGTGTCCACACACCTGACTAGTTTCTCTCCACTCGCGTCACCCTCATCAAGCTCTGCTTTGCTATCTACTATTCGTATCAATTCTCCTCCACCCGTACCCCTACCTTTGTCTTTCGACTCTATTTACTCTTTGTGACCTCTGTTTGGTCCGGGATTGAGATCATCGTTGCTTTTTTCCCTTCTTTTCCCTGCTTACCCGCTCGACTTCTACTTTTGCATTTCCAGAAGTACAAGTTTCTACTATCCCTGTCCACCCTTCGCGACCACCCACATTCTACTCTTACCTGTAGACAACACATCGTTGTTCTACCCACTCATACCTCGAGTCTGTTAGCGAGATTTCTTCTTCCCTCCATCTTGACTATCAATCTCCTGCTCTGCAACACAGACTGGCTCTGTTTCAGCTTTCACCAGGTATGTTACATATCACCTGCTTGAGCCATACTTTTGCCTCCTTGTGCCTACACCAGCCTGCCTGCCACGTTTCTGTCAACGCTGGATCCGTGATGGATCGCGAGGAGGCTGCCCAATGCCTATACCACTGTTACTGCTCCCCTAATCAACGATTGTGTTTTGGGGCCTCGCCTTGCTCACCCTTCCCCCTCGGGACATCTGGTGTAGAAGCTTGCGCTGCAGTTACTTCTGGCGGCTTGGCACTACAAGCGAACTTTTTCAACCCCCAAGTTCCTTCACTAACGCGACTCCAGATCCCCAGTTTTGGGCATCGAGAAGGGCGATCCGCGTGTCCCCTTCGTCGAGAAAATTTGTCTCTTCTATTGAATATTCTCCCGAATCTTCTTCTTGATAGTCTCTGCTGGTGTTGCCATGGATTCTGTCGCTCAAAGCGACTTGGAAATGGACAGCCATACTTCGGACATGGCCAGCCAGGACTCCCCTCTGCGCCGACAATTCTCCGAGCCACTGAATGCTCGTTCTACCTCAACCCAGGCCTCTCCATCCCCCTCCCCAGTAACTCAATGGACCAAATGCACTTTGTGCGGAAAGCTCCTTGAGTATAGTAGAGGTTCTGATTCCCAAAATAATGTTATGAAAGCCCACATTGCCACTGCGCATCCGCACATTGCTGCGCCCAAGACGCGTTTTGTCGCGGAAGGCGGCGATGACCAGTCACAGCTTGACGACGACGAGGAGCAAATGGAAGATGAAAGCGTGGATGAGAATGCAGACGTTGACGCCAGTGACCTTCACGAAGCTGAGGATGATGATGACCATCATGCAAATCATACTCTAGAAAATGGCGTGGCCGACACTACTGAAGTCGACGACGAAAACTACAAGCTACCAGAAGATGCGGATGGCGAAGAGCCAGAGGTTGCCGAGGCCGATGTGTCGAGCCAGTTGCATGAATTTTCGCGCGCTCAAGATCCCGTAACATTGGACCAACGCCTCCATAACCTCTGGAATGTTCACGATGTCCACCAATTCTGCAGTGATCATGATGAAAAGACTGCCAATCTAGAACACTCCTGGACTACATTGGTCAAGGAATCGAAACGCCCACGAAAGCGCGAAGCCCCTGATGAGCTGCAAGACCGACCAGAACCTTACAAGAAATCGAAGGTCTCTCCAGGAGAATTTCTTGAAATCACGCCGCTCGAGGAATTCTTGAGTCAGCTTCGAGACCCTGAGCACCGTTCCTACGAGGAACTCTATGCTATCACTGAGAACGTCGCTTTCGCTCTCAAGGTATGGCAAGATGAGTATATGGCCATCGAAAGGCTGAACAAGCACGCCACCCGACACAACGCTAAACCAATCAGCGATCCCAGAAAGTTACTGAGGCCGCAAGTCTTTGAGGATAAGAAAGAGGCTATGCTCTACGGATACAAACATGAGCCGAAGGAAGATAAGGTGGGCTGGCAGAATCCGTTCACCCAGGGCGGCTTCAAACCTACTCCGGCCCAGTATCGCAAGATGACCGCCAAGCTCGGGCCCAATCATCCCAACCCAGATGGCTGGCCTACTATTACGAAATTCGGCGTCGAGCACGTCCCTAAATTCCAGAACCCGCCTCGGGAGGACTTTGTCGGCAAGGCTACCCGCAAGCGAAAAGCCGCGGAATTGGAGGCAGCCAACAGAGAAAAGGCGTCGTCGGTCTCAGACGAGGCCGCGACAGACTCACCCGCTCCGGTGGAACCAGAGGAGAATATACGTCAACGGCGCACGCGCACCCGTCGCCAAGGCACGGATTTCGAAGATCAATCCGACTCCGCTTCCGCTCCGCCCATCCGGTTTGCCACGCGCGGCCGTGGTAGCGGGCGCGGGCGCGGGCGAGGTGGCATTCGTACCATCACGATCAATGGCCCGTCTGACCCGTCTCAAGCGCCAGCGCTAGTGGCCCCTCGCTCGACGACAATTCACATCGAGAAGCCCACCACCATCCTGCAGACTCGACCTGGCACAGTTCAACTGACGCCTATTGAGCCAGCGCCGAGTAGTAACCAAGCAGCTGCACCTCCGGCGGGCACCCCAGTCGGGAGCACCCCGGAAGACTCGATCGACCCTGCGGAGCTTGCTCGACGACAGAAAATTGCCAACTCGAAGAATCCAAAGCGGACAGAAGCTATGCTCAACCATTGGGCCCGGTTCAACAAAGAGGGTCGGGTTCGCAATCCTAAACGCTCTAAAGCCCAGATCGAGGCGGATCGCGCGGCCGAAGCTGCCCGCAAAGCTATCGAACCGCCCAAAGTCGGTCCACGAAAGAAGAAAATGGACAGTCCGGGCTATGTAGGCCCGAGGATCGAGCAGGGAATTGCACCGGCTCCAGCTCCTATTCAGCCTGCCGCACCTCCTCCTACCTTAGCTCCCAGTCACCCGACTCATCCTCAGTTGGCGCCGTTGCCTGCACCGCGACCTCCTCTGAACCCTTACCCACCCATTGACACCCGGGGAGTCCCCTTCCCTGGACCTCACACTCTATTCCAACAGCCGGCACCTCAACCTTACCGCACACCTTATCCGGAGTATTACAGTCCTTACGCACCCACGCTACCACCACCACCTGGCCACCCACGCCCTGCCTAGATCTTGGTTGACCTTATCATTAAAATATCTATTGCGCAGTTCCTAGGAAAAAGTTGGATGCACCATGTACACAACAGTGATTCTTGTGCATATGTACTACCATCCTTGTGAGGCAGCCGGGAGACTCGCGTCTCAGTGCTTGTCTGTTTTGTCCCTTCTATTTGTGTCTTGCTAGCGATTGGCGCCGGGGCTTGATTCTGCTGTATCATTGTGGGATTCTGGTTGGTTCAACAGGTCTGTTGTGGTGTATCGATTTAAGATTTCGAGGCTTCGCGGGTATGTACTGTACATTGTTGGATGGAGAATTGCTGGCTTGGAGCATGAAAAGCTATTAGATGTAATATATTGACTGTCGAGCAACACTGACTTGATCTTAACAAACATTGCTTAGTTGTTTGTGCTGTTGTTCTGTTCCTGAATGTGAATTGCGTAACATTGTGGTCCTCACATGCAAAGTCTTGATTAGATCTGAGACAGACCTTAATCAAGCGGACTCCGTCATATGGAGGTATATTGCTTTAAGATGTCTGAGCTATGACTAAAATTGAGTGTGAAGAAAGATATTATTGATCACATACGATCACCTAGTAGATAATACTTGCTTCGCTAGCTAGCACAACCTGATATCTTACTTCCCCAAGGACTGAGCTATGATGTCGTATCATGTGACTGGCGACGCATGTCCTGCACGTGATAAGGCTCACCGAACCAACCTCAATCTCATCAGCGGCGACTCACTCACGACCAGAATCTCTGCATTCCAGTCTACTCCACCAACCTTTTTCTCTTTCTCAAATCTCACGAAGCGACCAGCTCACAGTCACATCATGGGCAAAAAGAGACGCGGACCCACGTTAGAAGAAGTATTGGCTCGTCCGTGGTGCTACTACTGCGAGCGCGACTTCGATGACCTCAAGATCCTTATCTCCCACCAAAAAGCCAAGCACTTCAAGTGCGAGCGATGTGGGCGCAGACTGAACACCGCCGGAGGTAAGTTCTCCATTATCATATCAAGACGAGGAAGCCATTGTCTAACCTGGGTCCTTGGTTCTTAGGCTTGTCCGTGCACATGAGCCAGGTACATAAGGAGCAGCTGTCGGCGGTCGACAATGCTCTCCCCAACCGATCCAGTCTCGACGTCGAGATCTTCGGGATGGAGGGTGTTCCCGAGGATATCATCCAGGCGCACAACCAGCGGGTAGCGACACAGTTCCAGCAGGCAGAGGCCGAACGGCAGGCCGTGACGGGCAATCCGCCTCCCGGGACGACGGCGACGGGTGGACAGCCGGCGAAGAAGCCCAAGCTGGAGAGCGTTTCGGACCTCAAGAAACGTCTGGCGGAACACAAGGCGAAGATGGCGGAAGCGCGTGCGGGCGGCAGCAGTGGCGAGGCTACGCCTGTGGGAGCCGGTCAGACACCAACTATGGGTGGATACGTAAGTGATTTGTTGTCGTTTGAATCCATTTGACTTCGTATACTGATGTCATATTTTTTTTCGGACAGGCCGCAACGTCCACTGCACCGCCGCCTGCGACTACTCCCTCTCAATTCTCGTACCCTCAGCCCTACGGCGCCGCCGCCGCCGCTTCTCCCTTCCAGCAACCCCCTCAACAAACGGCCAGTCCCGTGTATCCGACCTTCTCGCCCGGTGGCCAGGCGAATGCGCAGTATGCTGCTCCTCCCACGACCTTCTCTCCGCAGCCGTTCCCGACTGGAGTTCCCGGCCAACCGCCGTACGGTGCCACACCTCCGACATACCCGACGCAACAGTCCCCTCCCCAAACACACACTCCTCCGCAGCCCGGGGGCGCATTCCCACCCCGTCCTGTCGGATTGCCCGCTGCGCCTGGTCTCCCTCAGCGTCCGGCCGTGGGGGCACCGCAGGTCAACGCCTACCAAATGCAACAGATGCACATGGGCCACACGGTCCCTCCGACGACCACCATGAACGGCGCCGACAAGGCTCCCGGAGCGGCGGCGGAAAGCACCGGGTTCTCCGGCTCCGTGGACGATTTGATCTCCGGGGCGGCGAAGCAAGCCGAAGCGGCGACGGCGACGGCGACGGCGACACCACCGACGATGACCACGACGACCACGACTGGCGGCAAACCGGCCGAGGGCGAGGACCAAAAGCCCAAGAAGGACAAGTCCAAGGCGCGATTGGTGTATTCGGATAATGAGACCAGCCCGGAGGAGAAGATGGCTAGGTTGTCAAGGTACGCATATGTTCCTGACCAGCGAGGGGAGACGGTACTTGAAGAGCTTCCATCCGCCGTGGTGGTGGGGGCGATCCGGGAGTCGGACACGGTGGTGGATGCGACGGATTAGTGCGAGCACATTCGTACACGCAGACACAAACACATGCCGAAGAAGAAAACAAAGCAAAGAAGAAAAGTTCAAAAAACAAAAAGAAGTTCAGTGCATACACATCAGCTAAGTTTCTGTTTACACACACACACACACACACACACACACACAAACCAAACTGGCAATGTCTTGTTGTTGCTACTACTTGACTCGGTGGCAGTGGTAGGCCGTGACCCTGACCTTGGGCATGGCCTTCATTTTCTCCTTCGGAAAAGTGAGCACCGACTGTGCATGCAACAAGAAAAAAGAGTAGTTGGTGAGTGCAGAACCTTTTGCTTTGTTACTTTCTTCGAGATCGAACGAAATCGACGATTCCAGGGATTTTACTCGATTGATTGAGGGTTGGGGACAAGATTGGACGTTTAGTATGGAGGCCGAGGTGCTATATGACGATGTAAGTTGCGTCTAGAAGGTAGGCCACTTGAATATTGAAATATCAGATATCTATCAGTAGAAGTCGGTACAAGTCGGTAGATTTTGTTGAAGTATGTACCCCAAACTTATCATCGTTGCTTTTGCTACGTATACGCAACCGTATACCCTCGCCCCGTACAGTAGACAAACCATACCCCAGTACCAAACCCATAAGGTACCGTCAAGTCAAGACCGGGTCCAATCCAAACCCCCACCCCTTCCCCCTCCCCAATAATTCATTTCTGGTTCAAGACCAACCCCCCAAAAACCCACACCCCATAGACCGCCACGAAGCTCAACACCGTGGGCACGGGCTTGCCGCCCGTCCGGATGGCGCGCGGGATCGAGCTGCCCGACAGGACCACCGAGGCCAGCAGCGCCAGCTCCGCGCCGTAGGGCTGCGCCGCGCGCAGCCGCAGCCCGCTCACCAGATACAGCAGCCCGACGGTCAGGCCCGCCGCGATCGAGGGCACCGAGCCCGTGCGCAGGTAGCCGATTGTGCCGCCCAGGGAGGTCAGGAGGGCGAGGGTTAGGGCTGTTGTTGACTATTCTTTTGGTGTTAGTTTATCGATGGCTGGGGGGGGGGGAGTGGGGTTGAGGGGTGATGATTTGCTTGCTTCCTAGCTGGCTAGCTGGCTAGGTAGCTGGGTAACTAGCTAGGTAGCTGGGTGGTTGGGTGGTTGGGTTGGGTTGAGTTGGGGTTGAGGGTGGGTGATTTGGGGGCAATGGGAAATGCTGCAGTGGACGTACCATTGTGATGGGGTTGTGATTTGAAAAGGTTCAGGTACAAGGGTGAGTTGTGGTGTTGGTGGTGGTGTGTTGTTCAGATATGTTACGGATCGGTGGTTATTGGCGCCGGCCACTTCCAGGCTTATATGCTCCTACTCACTCCCGGCGGAATGGTCTGATATCCGGGGCTGCTTGGGAATTAGTAATGCCTTCCCTTCCCTTCCTTCCCTTCCTCCTTCGTTCGGGCCTCCGGGCCCGGCGGGTCGGCGAGTCTGGATCCGCCTTTATACATCATCTGTTGTACTGTATACATCATCATCAATATAGCTAGTCTTCATCTACTTCTATCACACTCATATTTCATGTGTCACATAACACGTTTGCAAGCATATACAAAATCATCGCATCATTTAAACTTTTCCCTTTCCTCTTTCCCTTTCCCTTTCCCTTTTTGAATCCCACCAGCTCATTTCTACTCACTTCATCCCCGCCTAGCCGTATTCTCAACAGCTCCATATCCACCAGTTTGGCTTTCCTCCGCACCCTCCACCTCTACCACCACATCCTCCTCCTTTCCATGAAACCCATCGGACTCCTCCGTCCAAAACACCGGAATGGCACTAACAGCTCCAAACACCGCCAGAAGCCACCACGGAATGATGATGAACCCCCGCTTCACGCCAAAAGAAAACGCCGACCCTGTCAGCGCCGGGCCCACCGCGCGCCCAATGGCACTAACACTAGTACCCACCCCGTTCAAGGTCCCCAGCACACTCAGGCTGGCCGCCGAGTTGGTGAGGAGGATCGTTGTGCAGGGGAACCCGAAGATCGAGGCAGAGAGCTTGCCCAGCATCAGCAGAAACACGACCACGTGGCGCAGGGACCCCGGCACGAGTGCCGTGAAGGGCGTCAACAGGTAAAGCACGGGGAAGACGATCGAGACCACCTTGAGACAGTTGAGCACGCCGTACTGCTTGGCGGCCGCGGGGAAGATCAGGAACTGCACCATCATGCCGATGATGCCGATCAACGTGTAGTAGATTCCGATGGTTTGGGAGTCTGATGGTCAATTAGCACGTACGTGACCAAAACAGCACAGGATGAAAACACCCACCCACACCGAACCCTCCAATGAATTTGAACGGCAGACGCACGTCCGGGTTGCCTTCGAACTGCTGCGGCGGCGTGTGCAGGAAGACGGGAAATAACGAGTCAAACGCCATGGTATGCATCGACATGAGTGAGTACGCCAGCAGAATCAGGTTGGATTGCGGGGAGAACACCTCCGCCCAGCTGGGTTTCCGGGCTGACTTGGTGCGTGTGGTTGCGCGGCGCTGGCCCAGCAGCGCCGTTCGTTCCTCATCGGTTTCTGTGATGGTCGTTGTCGACAGTGACTTTTTGTCTGATCTGGCACTCCGACACGGCCGCGTCAAAGCCTGACCCAACACAAGCCCATAATCGCGTTGATGCTTCTTTGCAGCCAGCGTTTCCTAATCAGCGGCCCCACGAGAGCATCCGTCAGCACTTCCCCCCCCTCCCCTTCGTAGGTATACGAAGCATAACTCACCTCCAAAAACAAAAACCCTGTCCCAATCCCCACCACAAAGAAACCCGCCGCCGCCAGATTCGGCAACAAAAAGGGATACCGGCGCAAAAACTCCCAACGTCCAAACACCTCCGGATGCTTCTCAACCGGCCGGGCCAGCGCGCCCCCGAACGCGGGCCCAAAGATACTCCCAATCGTCCAGACAAGCGGCATGATGCTGAAGGCGCGCGGCTGCAGCTCCTTCTCGGGGACCATCTCGGCGACCATGGTGCGGATGATGCCGACGTTGCCGTTGAGGAGGCCCAGCAGGCCGCGCGCGATTACCAGTAACGTCAGACTGCGCGCGAACCCGAACACCAGCGACATGACCATCGTGCAGGTCAGCCCCGTCAGGATGACGGGCTTGCGGCCGACCGTGTCCGACAGCGTGCCCCAGGTGACGGCCATGGCGGCCTGGCTGAAGGAGGTCACGGCCGCGGTGATGCCGACCCATTTGGCGATCTCGGGTTTGGGGACGCCGACGGATTCGATCATTTCGGGCTTTTTGGGGGTTAGTTTAGTTGGATTGGGGTTTTGGGGTTTGCGGGGGTATGTATGCTACTCACTAGGTAGGGGAGGACGGAGGTGAGGACCACTATGGTAATGATGGGGGACATTGTTAGGATGGTGAATGCAATGTACGGACGAGCCGCGCGCAACCGGACTTTTAATGGAGAGGGCATAAGATATGCATACCTGGCTCTGCGAAGCGACATATTGCTGTGGTGAATAACCCGGTCAGTCGAGGAGACTTCTTTCGATGTGAGATCTTGACTGGGTGGGTGTAACCTCAGCCGAAGCAGATTTCTGGACTTACAAAGAATGACCAGCTGCCGCACGGGCAGCTGGGGGTTTTTCTTCAACATGCTGGCCGGGCGAGACCGGGTCAACAGTAAGAAAAAGCAAAAGGAAAAGGATAGAAAGTGGGTGAAGAGGTGAAGAGAAAAAGAGAAAAGAAATTGGGGAGGAGGAAAGAAGAGAAAGAAGAAGCCGAGAGAGAAGCCGGAAAGAAGACTAACCAGTCGAGGCAGCGGCGGCGCGAGGGCGTGTGGCCGGAGAGAAGATGATCAACATGCAAAAAACCCACTTGCTCTCTCCGAATCATTGTTCGGGATGTTTTTCAGCTTACTCGAACTAAATTGGCTGCTTATCTGCTCTAACTAAGGCGCATCGACACTATATTCCGATTCCCGGTCTGTGCCATTTCAACTAGATGTTGATGCTTACGGCTGCTAGAATGCTTCCCGCCCTTCTACATCAAACTATATCCGACTTGACCTTATGGCTGATTGCTCTTGCTTTCAACAACTGATGTCCCAACAGCTTGTAAGTTACCAAAAATTGTCTACGATCACATCAGACAGTCTCAATTTACAAGGTGAAACAATCTCCAATCCGCCAGCCCCTCTTGCTTGGTCCTTGCATGCATGCACTTCCCGGTCAGCTGGCATGCAATCCTGCAGGCCCCCTCATCCCACATACTCTACTGCAGCAGCCGAGTGGCCGCTTCGATGCGCTCCAGAATAATTGAGCGCCATTTCTGGAAACCAAATTAGCAACATCCCTCACATTCTACCTATAGCGAGCGAGAACATACCTGAGAGTTGGTCAGATCGCCCGCCTCCAGACTCTCCACTAGGCCCGGGTAAGTTGCCCCGGAATAGCCGGTCCAGATGCCTGGGGCAAACACGACGTGCTTGTACCAGCTGCGGCCATCCAGCCCCGGCTGGTACAAGAACTGCTTCTCGATGCTCTTGTACTTATCGTTCACCACACGGATCTGGAAGAGCAGCCGGACCTTCTTCCACCAGTGGTACCACGGCACATCCTCGCCCAGCTGCGAGGCCAGGTCCGCCGCATGGGCCTCAAACCGCGCGGCCGCCGCTTGGAACTGCGCAATAGCCTGGTCCAGCGGCGCAAAGTCGAACGATGTGCCCTTGGGGAGCTGCTTCGCCATCGGCTTGATCTGGCTGAGGTACTGCTCCAGCCCCAGAGCGTAGTCAGTTGCATTGAAGGCAATGATCGGGGTCTCGATCAGCTTAGCCGCGGCGAGCGCCCAGATCTTGGTGCATGCCTCGTGGTATTTCCAGCTTGGATCGCCGAACCGGTCCATCCAATCGAAGCTATCATAGTTCGAGTGGTAGTGGTACACGGCATCCGTGGGACCACGCCCGAAGCCAAGATCGTAGCTAGCCACGCCCGCAAAGTCCTGGAAGGCTGTAAAGTCGCTGCCGCTACCCATCGTAGCAATATGGCCATCCCAGACATCCCGCACGGTTTGACCCGGCACAGTCTGGTTGGGGGACTGCACCAAGCCGGTCACCTCGTAGATAAGCTGGTTCATCAGCGGGCTAGCCCGTGGCTCCAGCAGGGTACCGGCCGCAGCCACATCCACGTTCAAGTAGGCAATGTTGGCCTTGGAGAGCCACGGGAGCTGGTCTTCCACCCACTCCGTCGAGCCCAGCAGCCCGTACTCCTCACCATCCCAGCTGGCGAAGACAATGGTTCGAAGCGGCTTCCAGCCCGCCTTGAGGGCCTCTCCAAAGCTGCGGATGACCTCATTCAGCGCGGCCGATCCACTGTTGGGGTCGCCAGAGCCGCCAGCGATCCACGCATCGCGGTGGTTGCCCAGAATCACCACCTCATCTTGGATGTGGCCTTTTACAACCCCAATGACATTCCAGAGGGGTGTCGTCACATACTCCTGCTCATTGTACAAGTTGATGACGACATCATCTGGCGTAGGACCGATATTATACTCTACCCCCTTGGAACGCAGCTTACCGCCCTGCCACCACTTGTTGAAGTCCGAGGCTTTGGGACCATGACCGTTCAGTGCCTTCAGAAGTGGAATCACCTCCTGGTACGAGATAGGCAGCGAGGGAATGGACGGGATCGAGTTGAACGGGTCCTGTCGCTCACAGCCGGGCTTGGAGGCATACCCGGGGGTAGTCGGGTCGCCAGGCGCTATGCCTAGTTGTCATGATCAGTCACACCGGAGCCAGGGATGCAGCTGAAAGTAGGAAAGAAGGAGTTTACGTACTTAGGAACTGCGTACTACCACGCTGCACGGCGCTCGGGTTCCGCGCGGGACCCTTGGGATACGCCTCGTAGCCGTTCTCCTCGGTGATCTCCCCGTCAGACTCCGGGTCATCGTACAGGATGACACCCACCATCCCGAGCTCCTGCGCCCGCTTGACCTTCAGCCCGCGGAAGATGCGGCCATACTTGCAGATGGCGATCTTCCCGGCCAGGCTGACGTTCGCATCGATCAGGTCCTGGAAGTCGTACACGGTGCCGAAGTTGGCAAACACAAAGGGCGCCGTGACGTTCCCGCTCGCCGAGTAACCGTGGAAAGTCGGCACGCGATCCGTCAGGTTGGTCGTGTGGTCTTCCTCGAGGATGTCCTCTTCCAGGGTGGCCTCAAAGGTCACCTCGGTGGCATCGCCGTTCTTCTCCAACAGGGCCAAGCGGTGATCTACGGGGTAATTGAGGAAGATGTCATAGGCGACAATACTAGTGTCGTCGATTCCGAACTCCTGCCAGCGTTCCTGAGTCCATACGGCCTGGCTCAGGTTCTTGCCAGCCAGATGGGGACCGGCGGTGTAGTAGCTACTCCATTCCCGAGCCTTCTCGGCGGATGGGGTCTCGTGGAGCAGAGCCTGCAGCTCTTCGAAGCCCAGACCATGGCCGTGAGGCCAGGAGGCATGAGGGAATGGATTCGCCCAGGGAAGGTAGGACCAGATGGACCCATGCTCACGAGGAAGAATGGCAGAGGGGACGAGAAAGAGAAGGACAGAGACAGCAAGGATAAAGCCCAGGACGAGATTACAGGATCGTCGAAGGGCGTGGTGAGGGTATCGGTACCGCCGAGGCGCGATAGCGACACTTGTGAGCAACGGCGTGGATTCCGAGGGAGCCATGGCTTTCTCCCTCATCTCGGGTACCATAATGTGTATCAAAATGGATCAATCTAGACCCAATGATGGAAGAGACAAAAGATGGAAGAACGAGCTAGCTAGCCAGCACCCATCGCAGGAAGAATGAGGAAGAGAGAGAGAAAGGGAGAGGAGGAAGAGGAGGAGGAGGAGGAGGGGAAGGAAAAGCAAGTGGGAAGCTAGGTGAGATGACGACGAGGTTATCAGCTCCAGTTGGATCTCCGCAGATGAATCAGCGTCTATCTTATCACTGCACTATCAGTCACCTGCTAAACCTGGTCTAGCTCCAGCTCCACACCGTGACAGTCTCGGCAGTGCGGCACCCTTCATTCCATTCCATGGATCTTTTGGAGAGTTATTGTAGTCACTGTACGCTAATCTCCCAACTTATTTACTCACAATCACGGAATCGCACGCCATCATCAAGAATCCACTTCCTGCTTTTCACGTAACATTCTGCTGATGAGAGCCCACCAGGCTGGTTTCGCTCAAACAGATAGGTATCAATCGTAGAACATAGAATGTACATACATACATACATACAGCGCACCGCCAACACGCCCCTACCGATGCACAAAAAAGACCATGCAAGGAGTAACAGATAGGCTGAGACAAAAGAAGAGAGTTTTTTCCCGCCCAATTATCAAGCCGCCAATTACAATCAAACAGACGCTGTCTCTTCCACGTTCGATCCATCTGGCTCCTCAATCGTGATCTTGTCATTCAATGCAGGATTCACAGTTTCGCCGAGCTCCATACTGTCGCGTAGAATCTGTCTCGCCCGCTCGTCGCCCACCTTCATGTCCTCCTTGACAAGCCTCATCGCCAATTCAGGGACCAGAACGGCCTGTGCATACCCGGCGACGCCTGCCGTGTTGATAATATGGTCCTGAGGGCCGAGGCGACGCAATTTGCGAGCATACCGTGCCATAATACATTCGAGCCTAGAGTAGTGATGCATTAGTCGCGCAACCGAGCAACAAGAGGAAGGAGGTTGCTCACATCAGGGAAGAACCGCGCGTTCCGTAATAGCCGCATGAAATATCCTCCAGTCCATCACTGAGCAAATCAAGCTTGAAGTTCTTGGCTTCACCAGCCTTGAGCTTGGTGTCCAAGATGTTTCTGTAAAATGACGAGCTTCCCGGCTCCAAGACCCGGTCGAGTCCCTCCAAATGCGGCTTGATCCGGTCCTCGAATAAGTCCCAGTCGATGGTCGGATAGCCTTTCTCTTGCCACTCTCTCTCGCCGGCTGTACTCTTGTGGGATTCACAAAATCGTCGTTGTTCGCGCATCCGTTGCTGCGGTTGTGCTTGAAAGCGTTCGAGGAGCTCGCGAGGCACCGGCTCTTTGCACCACGGACACAGAGAAGGCTCCGATGTGTACATCTCGTCGTCGGAGTCGAGGGAGGGATCGTCAAACCGAGACAGCTCCTGCAGCAAGGTTGACGATGCGGAGCTCAGCGCCCCGTCGGACAACGAGTCACTATCATCGAGGACTAACGAGACAAGGTCACGAGCGGAGGGAGTAGCGAACGAGGAGCCGGAAGTGGCAGTCGGAGGAAGGGGAGGAGGCGCTTTGAATTCGGGTTTCGGGCTAGAGTCCAGGGCACGCGGCATCTTGAACCCCTCCTTTGAACTGCGCGATTCACTTGCGCCAGTCGAGTTCTTTCTCAGCTTTCCGTTCCGCGCACCAGCCGAGGGGGACTGCGAGGCCGCGGGAGACGTCCAGCTCGGTGTAGAGCCCGTCCCGAACGATTTCCTCGAGCCATAGCTGACCGCGGGCTTCCGTCGCTTGGAGCTCTGCGATGACCGGAATTGCGACGAAAAGAGGACATCCTCCCCGTCGCTTGTCAGATCTGCGCCATTGAATGTGTCCACGAATGTCCTCTTGCGGTCCGAGGTGGCGGACTTCGCCTTCTTTGTCGCGGGTCTTTGCCGGGAAGCCCGCGGCGTCTCCTCGCCTTCAGGTGAGCGTCTGGCAAGTTTCTCCTTCAATGTAGGCCCGGTTCGGGCCGTATAGCGACTCGCCTCGCCCAATTCATCGTCCGACAGCTCGGTGGGGGTGTGACCTTCGTCTTCGCTTGTGCTGAGGGGCTCGTCATCCGTTGCCGGTTCAGGTCGCGAGCTTTCTGGTGGGCTTCGCTCGTGGGTGCGAAAGCTCGTGAGGAGATGCCCTCCAGGGATGGGGTCGTTTCTGGTCAATCGGTTCGAGGCGAAGCTTGAATTGGGCTTCATTCTTGCGCGTGTGGTAACCGACATGACGGATGGCGGTTTGACGGACGTGGGGGGAGAAGGAAAGAGGATATCGTGGGTTCGGCAATAGATCAATTCAGAGGTAGGTGGGTACAAGATAAACATGCGAGTGGTGTGCTGGGAGCAGTATCGCTTGTTCAGATATCGGAGGGATGTGTTATGCGGAGTGCATTTTGAGCGTGCTTTTTCTTTGTGGTGGTATAAGGAGTGACGGGCGTAACTCAGTAAACATACGACAATCTCGCTGATAAGAAGAAGTCAATCCAGAATATAATCAGCTCACATTAACTAGTACCATCAAGGTAGTATGTACTCAGAAATCAAGGCAAGGAAGCAATAGTATGTCCAATAAGGGCGGGTATTCGAGGTAAAAGGAGAAGCAAGAGGAGGATTCGAAAATGAAAGATGCGGTCGAGGAGGGACGCGCGCGGGTGACACGCTATCGGCGGCCCTTCTCCGCACGGCAGCTTGGACGGTGGGCGGATGGAGATCCTCCCGCGAAGACACATTCTACGTTCTGCCTTCATGCAATACGAGTACACCAACCTTCGCCACTAACAGCTGCTGAATAATTTGTACTACAATGTTTCCCCTATCAAGCTAAGGTAGGCACATCCCATCCAGGGTTTATCCCTGTTTTGCGAGACGCTTGCGGAGCGATCGAAAAGGCATCCCCCAAACTTGACGTTCAAAACTTATGCGAGTTGTATATAAGGTATAGTATGTAATTAAGTAGACGAATATTGGTTCCAGATTGAGACCCATATAGAAAGGTAGTCAGCGGGCCTGAATCCCCTGGGCGGCGAATATTAATGGCCTCAAAACACGTCAGAGATAGCCTCTGGCCCGGAAGAATGGGGGAGAAAGTCGACGGCCAGACACGGAGAATCGAACCGCATGGCTTGCAACAGAATCAGCAACAGTAACGCAGTTTCATGCCTAAACTTTCCGGTTGGCCATATCAGCTGTAGACGTGGCATGTAAGACACAAAGAAGAATCGAAACGAATCGGAAACCCAGGGTAATCTGGTAGAAGAGGCCGTCAACCAAGACACTGACTCAGCGCTTGAGCAACGTCAGCATGTACAAGAATGGAAGTCTCGTTCACGTCATAGTAGCATATTCTCATGCCTCGTCATTACTCGAAAGTCATCTGAATTTCACTTTCATCGCCATCTCCAATGTCGTGTTCGGCCCAGGCGTTGGGCTCCAAAGCCATAGCACCCATGGTACTAGCACCCAGAGCAGGCATCGTGACTGCGGACCGAAGCTCGGGCCTGGCAGGGTGGGCATCATATGAGTTGGAAGCCCCGAACGAGGAATGAGTCCGCGTCGGTGGCTCGTGAAAGGAAGTATCAAAGGTCATCTCAAATTCCTCTTCGTGATGCTGAGAGTACGGTGGAGCCTGGCGAGAAGGACTATGGCTTTCTTGCTTCTCCGGAATCGTCTCCGGTGGAGGCGGGCTGGGCTCGTAAGACCTTGTCGCTTGAGATTTCGATGGTGTCAGGGCAGGCGATGGACTCGCGGGGGTGCTCAAGTCCAATTTCATGGGTGGAAGGGTAGATTCAAGCTGTCTAACTTCGAGATTCTCTGAAGCGAGCTCAGCCCGGATGGCATCAATATCAAACAATACTGACCCAGTTCCGTTATTGGTATCGGTAGAGCTCCGTGCTGTGGCATCATTGCGATCCACATCATATGTCTCCCATTTCTTCTTCTGTGCAAGTTTGCCACGCTTAAACAATCCGAAGCGCTTCTTCTCCGGCTTTTGCTCGGCGTCACGTCGTGCCTCGTCAATCTCACGAATGAGCTCCCTTTGCCGTTCGGCATGATTTTCCGGGTCAGGGTCCTCGATCTCTGCGAATTCCTCGCTCACAACCTCCCACCCGACCTCCTTGAGCAGCCGGGGAATTGCGGTACGGTAGTCCATGTGGCCATTGACCAGTTTCGTGAGATCAAAGTTCTCCAGTCCTGGAATGCCTTCTATGGGAGCGAGGCCTGCTACCTTCATGATACCGCCACTTGTGGCTCGGAATAGATATCCCAGAATCCAATCATTCGAAGCGTAACCATTGACGAACCGACCAGAGATGACACTGCGCGCCTTGAGATATTCGTCCCTATTGGCCACCATGGGCGACCCGAAGAGGTAAACATTCTGCACCAATCCGTATGCGCCCTTGTCTGCAAGTTCCTTCAGGCAAGAGAAGATAACCCTAGCACCAAGAGAGTACCCCACAAGCGTGACAGGTCTTTTCCCTAGATTATGCACCATGAGGGAGTCTGCAAGAATCAGACCGGCCGCATTTGCGCGAGTGAGCGAGACATTCCAAGGATTGTCAATGAGGTATGACAGCTTGGTAAGTACAAGAGGCAGCTGCAGAGACGCCATCAAAGCTACCAGGACAGTCTGTCCTAGGACTTGCTGAAGACCTTGCGTTAAAGCCTAGAATTTATCGTTAGCCCTGCTGTCGATTCAGCTAATCTATAAACTCACCTCCGTGGCTAGAATGTTTATAGTATCTCCCATACTCCGCAGCATTTCAGGCTCCCATAAGACTGAGTACAGATCACCCATGATGGGGTCAACGGTGCTGAAGGGCAGCCGTACATCATCTACTTTGCCGGTCATCCAGCCAGAGACAGTGATAATCAGATTTACCCTCTTGTTGTTGTGCAGAGGGCGGTACTCAAAGGTCTGCACTGCTCCCATTCTTCTCTGTGAAGCTCTCAAGCCAATCGTACTCCCAGTAAGTGTAGCACCAGAAGCTATCAGCGCTGTGCCTCCAACACCGCCGAGGAACGCACTTGTTCCTGTAATACCAACGGTGGTAAACCCGGCTGCTAAGCCAGCACCGATGACTGGAGCCAGCAATCCGGCGGAGAGGCCGATTACCAGGCCACCACCCACTGTGGCCAAGCCCATAATCATATATTTATGTTTCAGCGCCATCTTGCGTCTCTTCTCCATATGTTCAGTCTCGTCCCAATTCTCCTTATCTGCAGCCTCTTGCATCTCAAGAGCATCGATCACACGTTTTTCAAATCGGGCAATCTGCAGCCACGGTACTTCCATTGATTCACCTACTCTTTCGAGTAGGGTCCGTGAACGGGCATCATAGGCAGAATCGGCGATAAGGACGAGAAACAAATCGCAGAGCACGGTCCATCGCAGATCAATATCGATCTTGGCCGAGGTAGGCAACTGGGATGGGGTCCGAACCTCCGGAAGATCTTCCCCCTCATGTGTCTCGTAAGGTGGCGGAGATGTTGACCTGGATGACTGGTCCAGTTCTGTTGAGATACTACTCCGGTACTCTTCCCTGAGGCGAGGAGACGTAGGCGAAGACATAGATCTCTTGGGTGTATCAGTCTCATCAGCTAGAGGATTCTTAACGCGGGCATTGCTCATGAGCGGTCGAACGAGATCTGCGGGCTGCACGCCGTGTTCCGCCAACTGCTCAATCATGACCTGCTCCGCTGCATCAATCTCCATATGAGAATAGAGCCTGGCCATCATCGTTTGACTCCACTTGCGCATAGAGTCGATACCACCTTGTCTCGCCTTACGGCACCCTTTGATGGAGGGTATTCTGTTCATGTCCAGGGCCATTTGCCACAATGTAAGCCGGGTGACCCCAACGTATGCGATCCTCTGGCTCTCGGTCAAAAGGTCTTTTGTAGCCTGCATCTGGCTTGTGGGGTCACGCAACTCCTCGTCTACCCCGGTGGAGGTCGCGTGGCTGTCCTTGAAGAGATAACTTGTGTCTTCGTCCATACTGGTCGCAGACTGGGCATCGTCATCAAGCTGCACCCGAGTGTATCCTTTGCCGGCCCCACCCAGGCCACTGTAAACAGCTTCATCGCCTTCTATGTCCCTTGAGCCCTTTGCCACAAGTCGGCCATAGTCGTCATAAACATCCATGTCGCCCAGAGCAGGCATCTCCTTCCAGCCTCCATCGTCATCCTCCTCATCACTCTCCTCCTCATGATCTGCCGCTGTGTTCAGGCGCTGATGCGACCATTCGGAAGGCTCCAGGGACTTCCGCTTGGTCTTGTGAGGCTCGATCGAATGCATTGCATCATCTTGCGATGGAGTCTTCGTATACGGCGGTGGAGGCTCCTGGTCCCTAGGGTATTCGCACGTCTCGCGGGCCGCAGGAAGATTTGTTGAAACTTGAGGTAAGACTTCCTTCTCTTGTACGGCAGGCGTCAGAGATGGAGCTGTTCCTTCCCTGTCATCTTTCCCAACGACCAGTGGCTCTGCCGGTGTCTGTTCACTAGGCGTTGACTGCTTGGCCGCGATATCGTCTGTGCTCAGGTGTCCATCTTCACCGTCGCTCTCGCTCCCCTGGCTCTGCGGAACATCATGACAGGTCTCCTCACTCTCAGAAGACACCCTCCTCGGCCGCACCCGGATCGGTAATCCAAAATCGTCAAGCTCATCCTGCTGCTGCTGCTGCTGCTGCTGGGTTTGCGAGCTAGTCGCCGCCGTGGCTAATGCACTGGTGTGCGCTGCCGATTTGTCTGAAGACGCCTCCCCCCTTTCTTTATTAACAGCGTTGATCTTGACATCTTCCTCCGATGATGTATCAGGTGTCTCGCTTGGCGAAACAGGGGCATTGGTCAATCCCTTCAAGGTGCCCGAATGGTGTGACAGATCGGCAGTGTCGTCGTCGACAGACTGGTCAACAGGACTGGGACTGGAGACTGCGCTCATTCTTCATTTGAGTGTTTGATATGCCCCCCACACTGGCCCGGAACAGAGAAAGAGTTATCACTTTTCTTTTGCTCGGAACCACACTTCAGGTGGATGTGCTCCCTCTAAGTTTCTATCCCTAATACCACCGTGCTGAAGGTTGCGATGGGGTTTGCCGACCACCCATTCGTGCGATGTTTCCGGCTGCGCTCGACGCTTTTCGACAACTCGTTTGAGCTCTCGTATGATCCGGGGACAGGTCGAAGGAAGGAAGGGGAGGAAAGGTGGTTGGCAACCAGGTATCGGGGTCGGGGAAGGTTTCGAGGGCTGGCTGATGATACACACTAACAAAGCCAGCAGAGAAGCAGGCCGCGGAGGTGTCAAGGTTGAGTTCAAGGGACTTGGAATCCCGGGTGGAGCACGCGGAGGGGGGAGATTGGTGGGTGGCTGATCATGAACGAGGGGGGGGGGGGGGGGATGGGACGATCAGCCAAGTTTCCCGCTGATGGTTAATTGAAGGTGGCAGGTAGCGAGAGGCAAGGGAGTCTACCTAGTAGCTAGTCTGCAATGCTTCCTAGTCAGTCAGCAGTACAAACGAATCCGTTTGGGGCCGAATTGGAAACAAGCCTGCGACCAAGCCAGGTACGTACTGTGCAGTGGAAATTAGTGCTCAAGTACAATAGACTACACCGTAGTAGTGAGTGAGATGGTGGCCCGCATGGGGAAGAGAGGGAGACAACTGGAACTAGAGTCCCGCAAGCGGTCTTAGTGCACGAAATGGAGACAGAGTTATCTGGTGGTGATAGGAGCATCACGTCAAGTCCTGTGGCTGGCAGTTCAGCTGACGGCCTTGCTGCAAATTGATCGCTGCATCTTGGAAGATAAATAGATCAACGAAAGACCAACGACAGCGATAGGACGATGATTGACCACGTTGGTCTGCGTTAAGGGAATGTAAATCGATGGGATTGATGGACAGTGTTCATCCCCGCCCTTGCTGTAAGAATACGCGGCCCCGTCACAGATTCATTACATAAACTACATGCATTCGCATCGCTTGATCGGACTCGCGCTGCTCGTCCTACCTGCAGTGGCCAGGGTCTTCAAGTCTCCTTCAATTGATCATCTCAGACGCTGATTATGTGTCGTTCACCAGTTGTATGACACAAAGCTTAACAATCGATTCGAGATCTCTTGGCGTATTGGGCTGCAATTATCCCGACCAGGTACGGATCTCGGTACCTCGCTCAATATCCAACCCGGTCTCGATATGCACTTGCAAAGGCATGGCAGGCATCTTATAGCCTTACAGGCATCAGCACAGTGAGCATGCTTGTGTCACGCAAAGTACGCAGGTCATTCCATGTCAACCACATCTTGAAGGCATATAGAAAGTAAATAGGTACTGTACCATAGAATAGGTGACACTCACTGACTAGCTAACTACTTACTATTGGCATTTGACCGTCCATCAAAATGACCAGGGTAAGAACACGCTTATATGTGGTAGGCACACTTAAGGCCTAGCGAGATAAGGTACGCCACGGAGCTCAATGCCTAATGCTCCCACCATCAGGTTTGTCGAATGAAAAAGTGCACTTTTTTTCTCGAGTAACGTGAAGGGAAGAGCATCTCCACTACTGAGTCAGCGCTTTCCGATCATTCCGGCGCTCTAGACATGTAACCCCACGCTTGTTTTCTTGCTGCCCTTGGGCAAAAGGAAACAGCGAGAGACCTATGAGTTACTAGGTGAGGAAGGCATTGCCAAAGCCTCGGTGACTTTCTGGATAGTAATTATCCCGCTTTTCGGATCGTCGGAAGTTCCATGTCGGCCGATGTCCGATGACAAGCTTCCATAATCCCTACTTTATAAGCGTCAATAGTGAGCGGGGAACTGCTTTTCAAGTGGGATGCTAATTTCTTTTCTGCCTTCTGACAACTTGGGTTTATCTTTCTCCTGGGGACTGACGGCTGTTTGCTCCCGGCCTGTTACTGATTGCTCTTCGAACACTTCGATTCACTTCCGACGGAATTTTGAAGCCATTGCGACGGCACAAATGGAACTTTTATCGAATATGCATCTATGCATCTATAGACCGCATCTATGGTGGACAAGAGCCCTTAAAAACCAGGCAAAGTGGGTAACGCAAATACGCTCCCGTCCGGGAGCCAGTCGTCCAGCTCCATGCCTGTTTTAGGAGGTGACGGATTACCCTGCAGACTACTATCTGATGGAGTCCGCTGTTGCTGCTGCTGCATGTCATACACATAACGAGGGGACATCACGGGGTTGGGTGTTTGGTAGCTTGCATATTGGCTAACATTAGCCACATTCCGGAAGCCACCTTGGTCTGGCGACCACATCGAATCCCCAACAGGTGCCGGTACGCCATAACCTCCAGCGATTGGATGAAAAGGCGCGATTGGCAGAAAATTCCCGAGCGGCACCGGTTGGTGAGGAAGTTCAAATGGCGATTGGTTCTGGCTCGGCACGTTCGGGTGGGACATTGATGCTCCTGCATTGATTGTTGGGCCGAGTCCAACTGCTTTCTGCATGTTTTGATGCTGCAAGCGGTCATACCAATTTCGAGCCTTGACCGCAACCACGTAATACCATCGACTCGGGATTTTGTACTTCTGGCCACCGCTAGCCTCTGCCAGTTTCTGGGTCATTGCATCTAGATACTTGTCGACCTTGACAGTTTCTGCTGTGATGAACTCTCCAAGGGCACCTGCGCTGACTGAGAAGTATATCTTCAGGAGAGACATCATCGCCGTCCCGACCCGGGTATAGATCAGATTCGGGATCTTGCGCAACATCTCGGTGTCACAGCTGAGGAAGAAGTCCAGCATCTCATGGGCGGCATTCATCCATTTTATCGTGATGTCTACGCGGACAGCGCTGAGCTGTGAGCCAGCCGATTTCACCTTACCCTCCGGGGAGGGAAGAGTATAGTATTGTTGTTTGATTGCATCTGGATCACGATACCCTTCGCCGACGGCTAGTTCATAGATCGCGAGATTGGTGTAATGGTATTCAAAAGTCATGGGGACTGATCACTATCAGCTACCACCAACTTCCCGTCAGGGTTCGCCGCACGACAGACTTACCTGTGAGCATATCAAGCGGGAGCTCTTTACGCCACAATAGCATACGGTTGTCAAACCACCTCAGAACGGCCTGAAGGCGCGACTCTGTCAGTGGCGCGGTTGAACTGGTATCGTCGAGACCGAAGGAGGCCATCGACTCATCCACTATTCGCTGAAGATCGAACCAGGTGGCCATATGCCTATCTACTGCATTTGGTGATCGCTCCAAGTGCTTCACGCACTCAGCCATCCATTCATTCAATAAGAGCAAATTCGGTCGGCGCGTTTTCATCGCAACTCTGTATATCGGTTAGCACAACTGCATCTGTTTGCACGAACGCTTGCCCTACATAGATGTCAGATGATAGCAGTACAGTATCGTCCTAGCCTGTTCCGCCATTTGCTCGTCATAAGTGGCCCTTTTGCTTGCTCTGCGATCGTTGGTTCTGTCTACGCGACGCTTTGAGGCCAAGCCAATCTCCAACGCCATTGTAGCAGCAATGTGCGTGTACTGATAAAACTGCAGCTTCAGAGGCGAGTCGGGCGGGTGATAGAAGACGATCATGATTAGCAATGCCTGCACCAACTCCAAAGATTTATCTCCATTGATGAAGAATCGCTCCGCATAGACTCGGATGATCTCCCGGTTCAGAATGGCAGCCAACTGGCCATCCAGAGCAACGCTCGCTGCAGCGACAACGGACAGGAACAATACCGGCGCTGAATTGCGCAATTGAGTGGCAGTCGTATGTGGGGGCAACACCACTATCGGCGCAAAGGCCGTGAGTTCGGTCACATAGAAGGCGACCAACTCATTCGCATACTCGAGAGATATTACGCCTCGATCGATGACATCCTCCCTCGGCCTTGCATCGTATGAGTAGGGGGCTGGCGCTGGATTGGTGATAGGGGCATTCACAGGACCACCATCATAGGTATTCGGATATGGAGACGTTGATGGGAAGCTGGGTGAGAAGTCCATGGGTCGAGCCGAATCTGCCCCGCTGCTATGGTCCTCTGCGATAGTGGAGATGGCCTCGCTGGGTTCAGCGGCCAATTCAGGCTCCCGGGAGTCCTCCCTTTCACTGCTCGCACTCTCTGCACTGCTTTCATCAACCCGCAGCCTATCCTTGAGGAGTGATCGCATCTGTCGCATCTCCTTTTCCAACTGGGCTACCCGGGAATCGGTTCGCTTACGCGGCCGCCGCCTCTGGGGTGCGACAAAGACGCAGGTTCTGTTTGCTTTCGCGCATCGTTGACATTGATTGGGAGTTGAGGCATCGGGTAAGCATCGGACTTTCAGGCCGCGACAAGATTCACAGGAGCGGTTCAATTGCGGGGTCGCGGCTGGTTGAAGCACGAGGTTTGAGTCGCCCGGGAGCATATTGGGTGTAGTCGACATCTTTTGGCCCCCACGTTTGCTCTTATCGTGCTGGTGCTGCAGGATATCTAGATCGGAGGCGATCGACAGTAGCTTAGAAGAAACAGGGGTCTGAGAGTGAGGTAATTTTTTGGGCCGCACTCGATAAATCTCTTAGTAGGTGTTCGCAATGGGCCTCATTCTTCTCGAAAAGGTCGTGTCAAACTGATCAATTGGGAGGGCTTTAGGCACAGGTATGGAGGAGTGGTGTCAAGGTCTCCATTATCGGTGCCGTGAATCACAATGATGGAAATGGGATCAAAAGACACCTAGACAAGTCAGTCGCAAAGCCCAGGCTGGACTTCTGCAATCAAGCGATGCTAGTCAGAATCAGCAATCACATACCTAGAGTGCACGTTTGTTCAATGGAGGACATCCAATTGGATGCCTAGCGATAAGGATTTCTGCACAAACCGCCATGTACCCCAGACAGTGATTAAGGTATTTCCCAGGGTCACTGATATGCAGCTGAAGAGTGCAGCTGGAACAGTGGGACTCGAATTCAAGCCTCAGTCATGTGAGGCTCCAGCCTCCAGCTAGTCTAGTAGCTACTGGAGGGTGGGTGGGAGTGGAGAGAGGGGGGGGGACAAGAAATCCCCTGGCCTTCTTGATCAAACCATGAAGGCTGATAACCAGTGTCTTTCCCTCTGAGGGGACTTGGCGAATCCTCTGTGCAGGTTAGTGCAGTCGGTTTATTAAATTGTCTGTTTGGATGACTGGAAGTGCGGAAGTGGAGAGACAAGATCAACTAGTCTAGATCAAGAAACACCCGGAGAGCACCTGCACTGGGCAGTGGGCACTGTATACATGCTCTCAATAAAGTTAGGTTGTTGAAAGGACCTGGGTTCGGAAGAACATCTGCAATGAAAAGCAGCAATGATACTCGAGGTAGTTCAGATGCTATTTACGTTGGAAGCATGATATCGTAACAGTACAAGCAATGAGTAGGTCAATTAGGGGAAGACAAGTGTTGGAAGCAACTTCAAGGTTACGTAGTATCGAAACGAATTACCCCTCTAAGAATCACACAGCAAGTGTTAGTAGACTAAAGAGAAACTGAGCAAGGAGTTCTCATTGGAGGGGGCTAAGAACATAATCCAACTATAGTTGATAGAATGTCAAACTTGACGAATCACCGTCGTTTTTATCCGTGCTACTAAATTCGGACCCTCAGAAAAAGGTCCAGTCCTTCCAGTCCTTGCACTCCCTGCTGCCCACGGGCAATTAATCCGCCGACCCTGAGGCTTTTCCTCGTTACCTCCCTAAGAAGCAGATAAGGTAACTTGAAGCCGTGCGGTCGACCTGGATGAACTATGAAGAGTCGAGTCGGAAATACGAAGTACTTGAGCAATTCAACTGGCAACCCTGGCTGTGCATTCTTCTTCCTTCTAGAATACGAGTCCTCTACAGGACCATGTACTGTACCTGGTAATATCAATTAGTCTTACTTCAGGCAGCATGGGGTAATGTACTTGCCAAAGTACCTCGTCCACTCCATAGCTCAGAGTTATGGATCTGGATTATGATATGATGATGGAGTTGTGCTGATGGTCGCGTTCAGACCAAGAAAGATGTCTTATGGATAGGTACAGCACTTGAAGTTCTTCTCCAGAGCAAATCACTTGAAGACCAAACGAATCCGAAAGGAGAGATAAAGATTAGTGAAATGGGTGTACGCAAATGACGACTGCCAATGTTGTATGAGCCCATGCCCGCGCAAGGATGTTTTTGTGTATCCTGTATGGAAGGACGCCAAGGGCGGCGCTACGATAACAAGTCGGCGGTACGGAGTACTGTACAGTACATACCCTCGATACCTGGCAGATTAGATGGCTGTCATGGGCTCTATACAAGCATTCGGGGGCTTGCCAAGAGATATCCGGGGCTTGCGATCCAGGACCGATCTCCAAAATGTCAAAGCTAGAGGTACTGGCAATTGTCTACGTTTAAACGGTATAGCTACTCTTCGACTCCACAATTCAAAGCTTACGTGGATCACCGCATTTCGGTGTCGCAGAAATAATTACAACCTGGCCTTTTAAGTTAGGGCGTTGGGCTGTGCGTGCTCATGCGAGGGGAAGATGCCTGGTAGGATCTGAGGCACGCAAACACTGTGATTAGGTCTGTCATCAAGCTTTAGCACCTGGTGCAAACCTTCAGCGGTCCATTCGGAGGATAGTCCTTGGACATGTTCGACATTTCTGGTTGAGACGAGATGAGCGACAATTGTGGAGGTCTAAGCACTTCTGAATCGGAGACTAGTCTGCAAAGGACCATATCATGTCTGTCGGCCAGACCCTCAAACCAACCGCAAGAATAGTGCAAATGCTGCTGTAGGCTTAGAGAAGACGGACTGACAGACAACACGGGTTCCCCTTCGTCATGTGGGGAAATCCCCCACTTGAATCCCGGAAAGATTTTTTGCATTTCCAGAGCAGCAGCGGCAGCAGCGTGGAGAATCCATGAATCATGTCATGAAGTAAAAAGCAACAGCAGATGTCGATTCCCAACTTCCGATCAGTGACCCCTATCTTCCAATTCCCGTGTTTGTTCCCGACGAAAGAGGCCAGTTGTCACGCGAGAATGAGGAGGGGGGAAATAGTGGTGGTTGAGAGGTGAAGAAAATTTGGTCAACGAAAATACCGGGCTTGGACTATGACGCGGCCCCAATCTTCTGGATTGAGATACCGAGACCGAGCCCCCCAGCCGCTATTGAAAAAAGCCAAAGGAATGGCTAGGCGGTGTTGCTTGTTGCCCTGCTATTGGTGACGACCACCGCCTGCTGACGCCATGGTTCCTCCAGCACGGGCGTCGTACGTAGCACGGTGATATGAGATAAATTGGAAGAGACGTACAAACGTACTCAAGTACAATACTGCACATACCCCGTGTCTGTATGCTGTGTCTGCAGTGCGAGAAAAGGAACAATCGCAGTTGTTATTGTTTGTCGCTGACCTCGAAACCCTCCCCGAGCAAGGAATGGAAGAAAGATAACTGTGAAAAGTAAAATAGTGAGCCGGATCGGCGCGGTAATTCCATCCCCCATCGCCAAGGCTGGCAAGGCTGTCTGTTGCGTCTGCGCCGTCCGGTGTCTGTTACTCTTCTGTGGTGACGGTACTCCGTACTGCTGCCGCCCGCCCGGTTCTTGCCCGTCGCCACCATCTTTGGTTAGTTAGTTAATTGGTTTCTAGGTAGTTAAATGATCGGAAGGAACGGTAACGACAGTCAGTAAACTTGGGTAAGTTGGTAATTGCGCACGCGACCCCCTCGTCCTTCTCTTACGGTCTTTACTATTCTTGTACGCATTTTCCCTGCCGATCCCGGGCACTGTGGATCTGCTCATTCTCTGTCGTCGTCTCCGACCTTGTATTATTCTCCATTATTATTTGGTTGTGATCCTTGTCCTTTCAACGTCCTGTTCTTTTTCTCTTCCTATGCTCTTTCACAACTCGACTTCCCTTCTGACATATCATTCCATTCGAACCGCATCCCCTGTCTGGCTGCCTGAGTGGACTGGTCATCCTTCCTCTTAAAGGCATTCCTCTCTTGTCGCCGCGCTCATCCCTAGAAGTGACATCGGTACTGCGATCCCGCCCATACCGTATCATCACCACTCTCCCCCCAGTCCCACGTCCTTATCTCCGGGCTTGTGCAACATAGGGTCAGAGCATGCAGTCGCCTTCTTGAATCGAACCTGATTGAACTATATATACAAATATATTTTGTTTAAAAATATATATATATATATATATTCATATACACTCACATTTAGACGTGCCGCACTATGTGGTTTTCAACGCCCCGGTTATTCGCCGGACTTTATGGGTTATCACTGGCTGTCGTGGGGTCATCCGCTGTCGATGTTGATTTCATGAGCGTGAGGCCTACTGTGGCCAAGGAATACTCTGGAAAAGGGGGAGAACCAGGTCCAAAATATTTCAGTAAGTTTTGGCCCGTCATATCGAATCGCGCCAGTTTGCAGGCTTCCCATAATTAGCTGAGGTGCATGCTGACTCTTTCCCAGAGGAATCAGAGTAGGTCACTATCTCGATTTTATGCTAGAGGTGCTTTCGAATTGAGCTGACATATACACTGGCTAGCTTTCACTACCATTATGACGGCCGGTAGGTGTTAGAATTGACCCGTTGGATATAGCATGTGCTAACTTGGTCCGTGGTCGCAGCTTTGCCGATAAGCCTCTCTCGGACGAAGAGACCATTCCGCACCTGTCGGAACTCATCCGAACCTACCTGTCAACAATGGCAGACCTTGGTGCCGAGACATGGATCATGCATGGTACTCTTCTGGCATGGTGGTGGAATCAGAAGGTTGTTGTTACCGACTCACATGGTCGCTGCGTTGTGGCTCCCGCTGACAGCTGATTAGATCTTCCCTTGGGACAATGACCTTGATGTCCAAATATCTGAGCCCACAATTCACTTCCTTGCCGATTATTACAACATGACGGAACACCATTTCGAGATTCCAGGGGTCGAGGGCGGAAGAACGTACTTGCTCGAGATAAATCCTAACTACGTCATCCGGTCTACCGACGATAAGTTGAATGTCATTGATGCGCGTTGGATTGACACTTCCTCCGGATTGTTTATCGACATCACCGCCGTGCGCAAAGATGACGACAGACGAGAACGCGGTGACCCCGGTGCTCTGATGTGTAAAGATGGCCATCGCTTTGATGTAAATGGCGCGCAAACCACTGGCACAACATGGCAGCTAACCAGTTTACAGGAGACCGAAATCTTTCCGTTACGGAATAGTTATTTCGAGGGTGTCCCTGTTAAAATTCCGTTTGAATATGTCCGACTTCTCAAGAAGGAATATGGCTCGAAATCTATGACCGCTACCACCTTCCAAGGGTAAGTTGTCATGTCTTTGTCAATAGGCCCTCCAACTAAACCTCGAATCCAGGCACCATTTCAACGATGCCACAAAAGTGTGGGATAAACAAAGGAAACGGCAGTTTTGGCGCCGCCAGCCAGTCGACGTACCCGTCCGAACCACGCCGCTCGGGCCTTTGTTTCGATGAAACTCGAAGACTGTTTTCAAAGTTCAAGGCTCGTTGACGTATCTGGGCCTGATTATGACAGTTACGATCTGACCGGGTTCAATTCTTTTTATATAGTCTTCACTTGTTTGCATATATATGGCGTTATCCTTCGGAACGCATACCATTTATTCGCACGTTGGATACATTCGGCGTTGGATTCTATTATGCTTCTCCGGCCTTCTGTTCTATTCATTGGGGTCATTTCAGACTTTCTCTGTCCCAAATCTAGAGTTTGGTGACTTGGCTTCCCGGAGTCTGGGCAACTGAACAATTGAGTCTATGGAGACTTTTGTGAATATATCAAATGTAATAATCTAGTATTGTCCGCGACATCGGCCCATGTACTGAACCACGCTTGATGCACACATCACACGGGAAGCAGCAGGAAGGCTACTGAAGCGCCTGACCTTTGCACGAAGTCTTAGATCCACGGTCATTGCAAGGACTATGTTTGAGATGTGTCACGTATGCGAGGCTATAGGTAAAACTATCCCGTCGGTGAACTTGAACGTCAGGGGCTAATCAATACCTATACGTACTCCATGATATAGCCATTGTATAATATCGGACGATGGTTCCCCGCTGACAGAAAGACCATCTTTCTTTTGCGAACAATAGAAATGACCCCACGCAAGTTAGCCTGGACCCAACTACTATTAGTCACGGACTAATTTACTGAGTAAGTTAAGGTATGTTCATTGACACAATGTCAGATGCACGTGATTGTCTTCTTCCTTTATGATTACGTGAGGAGCTACCGTTTCTGGCCAATGGCGTTGTTTGAGACCTGAATCGACTCTCTGCCCCTCCCCACTATGAGTCGATGACTGAGGCACGGCAGTATTAGTTAGTAGTTAGTGAGCTCGGCCCCGATCATAATAATACAGTAATCCGGACCGATTCACCTCCTTTGGTCTGATCAATAATTTTCTTTATTCCACTTCATCTCAGCGCAAACTTCCCCTGAACTGCCGCTGCCGCTGTCGCTGTTGACGATGTGGCATGCTCCACCTATACTGTCATGTCCTTCCATAGTCCACCACTTCCAGCACAACAACGCCCGCCTGTACCCACTGTGACCTCGCCAGCCTTATCTGCGACGCACTCCCGACAAGATTCGGAGAGTCTCAGTCATGGCCAGGCTGCGATCGTTGTTGATCATCACACCGACCCCCATTCCTCGCACGAGCTGCATAGCATACGCAGCTGTGTTACCTGCCGTCGGAGGAAAGTCCGCTGCAACAAGCGATCGCCGTGCTCGAATTGTGTCAAGGCGGGGATCGAGTGTATTTTCCCCCCACCTGGAAGGGCGCCCCGCAAATCGAAGCGGCCACAAGATGCGGAGCTCCTGTCTCGACTCAGGCGCCTGGAGGGTGTCATCGAGCATTTGAACGAGAAACGAACAGCGTCGCTATCGGATACGCCTTCCCCAGGCCAATCGCGCAGTGAGAACGTGAGCACACAGGGTCCGCCGGCGCCTCACGCAGGCCCCGGCGATGGCGACGGGTGTCCGCTGATGCTGGATGCTGCTAATGTGGACCCCCGCAGGCCTATGCCCACGCGAAACATGGAGCATGAATTTGGACGACTGGTTATCGATGAGGGCCGGAGTCGTTATGTGAGCAATCGGTTCTGGGCCAGTCTCGGTGATGAGGTGAGCCGATTTCTTGCTTCCTTTATGTTGTTTATGATGAGGCACTTTTCAGGTATTGACAGAGGGATACGTGTTAGATCGAAGAGCTTCAGGATATCCTCGACCCATCAGCGTCGGAGGACGAGGATTACCCCTCTCCAGAGTCGTCGTCGACTCACTCCGCCAACCATGACGGCTTCCTATTCGGATTTTACTCGCTTTCCCATTCCCTTCGCGGCTTCCTGCCACCATCGTCGAAGATCCCGGTGCTCTGGACTTTATACTACGAGAATGTGGCGCCGCTGGTCCCCGTCGTCCATAAACCTACAGCCAAACAGCTTTTCACGATCGCCGCCCAGGACCCGGGCAGCTTAGATAAAAACCAGGAAGCACTTTTCCTGGCGATGTGCTTAGTGGCAGTCATCAGCTTGTCTCATGAGCAGTGTGTCATCCAGTTAGATGAGGACCGTGATGCTGCTGTGAAACGTTATCGATTTGCGGTCGAGCAAGCTTTGGCGAAGGCCAATTTCCTGAACACGCAGAACTTGATGTTACTGCAAGCCGCTGTCATTTTTCTCATTGGTATCCGTCGTGAGGATGATACTAAGTTCGTGTGGTCTATGACGGCTCTCGTTCTTCGCCTCGCGCAAGGTCTTGGTCTTCACCGGGATGGGACGAAGTTCGGGTTAAAGCCCTTTGATACGGAAATGCGCCGAAGACTGTGGTGGCATATCTGTTTGTTGGACATTCGGTCGTCCGAAGACCATGGCACTGATTCGCAGATCCACGAACGGATTTATGATACTCGGCTTCCACTAAACGTCAATGATGATGACATTACGCCGGACATGCAAGAGCCGCCCCCGGAGAGAATTGGCTTTACCGAGGTGACCTTCTGTCTGATCCGCTGCGATATCACAGTAGCCCTTCGGCGGGTGAGCTATGCCTGCCCTAATGGCCACTTCACTTCAGGTACTCGACCAGTGTCCGCGGATAACTGCGGAAACCTGATCAAAGCCATCAATGCCCGCATCGAGGAACGATACATCAAACACTGTGACATGAACGTGCCAATTCAATGGGTTTGCGCTACCGTCGCTCGGCTCATTCTCACGAAACTATGGCTTGTAATTCACCATCCCATGACTCGGCCTGACCGTGACGTTGCTCTGACGAATGCAAATCGAGAGAGCTTGTTCGCAACTTCTGTGGAGGTTGCCGAATTCGCGCGCCTACTTGGGGCCGACAAGAACACATTTAAGTGGAGCTGGCTCTTTGCCACGAACATGCAATGGCATGCCATCGCATTTGTCTTATCGGAGCTCTGTGTACGCCCGTTGAGCCCTCTCACCGACCGTGCTTGGGAGGCTGTAAGCAATCTTTACCGAGATTGGGTACGCAACAGCAAACAACGGAAGGGCATGCTTTGGCGACCGCTGTCAAGGCTCATGAAGCGCGCGGCCGCCCACAGAGCAAAGCAAGAAGAGATGCGAACACAGCTGGGTCTCAATGTCGGCTCTTTTCAGTCCGTGCCATTCACTGGTGGCACTGGACCCTCAATTCTTCAAGCCCCTCCCATATTACCCCAGCCTCTTGCGCAACGAGAATCCCAAATATCATCTGCCATGCCAGAGGGGGGTACGTTGTCTAATACAAACGGACTTGATATCGATCTTCGAAAGGGGCCGATGGACGCAATCATCAATTTGTTCCCCGGCGTTGACTGGTTGTCTCCTCAAGCGGCAGCTATGGCGGCAGCCATGGAGCAGCCAACTACAACTCCTGGGGACGCATCGATGAACTCATTCGCCGGACCAGTGCCCATGCAGCAGAACGAGAACAAGCCGGACCCTCAGCTCAATTGGGATGAGTGGGATAGGGTCATGCACGACTTCCAGATGGATTTACAAGAAGCCAACACCGAAAACCCTTTTGCGAATATCTCTGACTGGCTTGCCTGATGCGCCTGTGCGGCAAGGAAGCGCACCATGCACCTGAAGTGTGCTTTATATACCCTCTAATCCAGCCGTGGCCCTAAGAGGCATTTCGCCCTTCGCTCGAGCGGGCTCAGTGTTGTGGTATAACTGGCGAACCTTCTCAATTATTCTCATGCGAAACCCCCCTCTTCACGATGCAGAAATACCCCTCTCCAATCTTAATCACAATGAATTGATGAATATGATATAATGACGATGTGTATAATAAGTCTGAATGTTACCAGGATGTTTTCTTGAGGTTGTATGAGACTTGGCCACGGTGACTACCATATCAGATCTGCTACAACCATGTACTGTATCATAGTAGAACACCCCCAGACTTGCACATATCAGCGATCAGCAAACAGAACTTCGTGTAACGTACGGATACCGTACAGTGAATCTACTAGTAGATAAACCCCGACCGATAACAGCGCACATCACGTGACTCCGCGTAACGGACAGCTTGCGTAATGAATTCCCGAGGTACACCACCGACCGACTCCGCCGATATCCAGACACTCTCTCACCCTGTCAGTCTTTCTCTTTCTCACGATCTTTTATACCAATTGACTCCCAATCCGAGACGAGAGACCCAGGCAACCCAATCTCAAAAAAAAGCCATGCCTTCCAAACGCACCGCCGCCGCCGGCCCCGTCCCCGCACCCTCACCTCCAACTATACCTTCATCCTCCACCACCACCGCTGCTGCTGCTCCTGCCTCCTCCTCCTCCCTCTCCTCCGGCCCCAAAACCCTAACCACCAACTCCTCCGTCCTCGACATCGTCCACACCGTGTGGCAGCAATACCTCGCCACGACCCCGCAGCGCACGCTCCTGCTCGACGCCTTCATGGGCTTTTTGGTCCTGGTCGGCGGCGTGCAATTCCTCTACTGTGTTCTGGCCGGCAATTACGTGAGTTCACTTACTTTTTCTCCTTATGTTTTACCCCAAACCTTCCTTGTGTATTCGACTTTTGTGTGTCTGTATGCATGGTAGGGTATGTTATGGAAACCATGGCTAACTGTTTCCCTCCCTCTTAAACATAGCCCTTCAACGCCTTCCTGAGCGGCTTCTCGGCGGCGGTGGGCCAGTTCGTGCTTACCGCGAGTTTGCGCATGCAGACTTCCTCTTCTTCGGCTGCGGCTGCGGCGGTCGTGTCTGGTGGGAAGGGGGCGAAGGGGAAAGCTGCTGCGCTGGGAAATGAGACTGGGGGGAATGGGATTTCGCATGAGAGGTGAGTTTTTCTTTCTTTTTAGGGGGTTTGTGAGTGAATTGGGTTTGGGGGACTGGGTTGGGTTGGGTTGAACTCGGACTGAGCTGGACTGGACTGAGCTGGACCAAGCTGACTCCTTCGGGAATTAGGGCGTTCGCGGATTATATCTTCGGGAGCTTGATCTTGCATTTCTTCTGTATCAACTTTATTAACTGAGTGGATGCCCGGGTTGGATTTCGAGGGCGTGAAGGTAGTGACCGGGGGTGCGAGGTTGGGTTTGGGTGGGACGGATTTCGGTGAGTGGGATCAGGACTATTCAAGGGTCAAGATATGTGGTGCTGGACTGGGCGCGAAGTGAAGGTTCAACGTTGCGGCTTGAAGAAGATCCCTGGTGGACTTGATGCTGTAACTCTGATCTGTCTGGTCTGGTCTGGTCTGGTCCGATCCTTCTGGTTGTAAAGTGAGTTGAAGGAAAAGAACAAGAGTCGATGGTGTCGACTATGTAGAGGTACCTGATTCCCAGTCGTGATAGTACTCGAGTTTCCGTGGGATCTACTTCCGTAATTCATGTCCTGTCGGAGCAAGATCCGGCAAACAGGTGCACGGTCTCCGTTGGACTCTCAATTGAAGTATGCTCATGTTCATGCTCATAACTCTTTGCCAAGATCGGGGTATACCTCTATATGTACTGTACATACAACAACAACAATCAAAATGCCCGTCCAGGTCTTCTTTTCACCTGGGGCTTCTTCACCACACTTCCCCCTCCTCCTCCTGCTCCTCCGCCACCTCCAGCTCCAACTCCATTGCGTGAAGAGCTGGAGGCAGTCACACCTCCAACACGGCGGGCTGTGGCAGCCGGCCGACGGACCACGGAACTGCCCACTTCGATCTCCTGCCGGCGTCGGGAGGGGTCATTGCGCTCCTGCTCCCTCTGCTTTTCCGCGGCGGCCCGTTCCCGATCCGCGGCCATTTGCGTTTCGATCTCCATGCGCCGATTGAACTCCTGTTCGGTGACTCGGCGCTCGCGCTGAGAATAGCCCTTTTCTTTGACTGAGTAGAAGACGCCTCCGAGTTCGGCGAGCCACTGCATACAAGAATACTCCACGGTCAGTTTAAGATCATGATGGCGATGAGGATGAGGGGGCAATGATGATGGGGCGGGATGGGAATGGCGGGGGATCACAACTTACGTGTGGGTCGACAGCCGTGACGGTGGACATATACTCCTTGCTGGTGAGTATCAACTCATGATACACCACGTATTCGGGCACATAGCCCAGACCATACAGAGCACTCGTCGGGTGCAGCTGCATGCTCACGCTGGTGCGGAGATTGAGGAACTCGCCGATGCCCTTGACGCGCGCGGCCTGGTGGTAGAATCCGGAGCAGATGCACTTGCGGATGACATCCCAGTCGGTTCCACAGCTGACGAGGGGCATCTTCTGCACCGTCATGATGTCGTGCAGCTGGTCTCGGACCTCACGGGCGCGTCGAAGGGCTTTGGCGTGCAGGAAATGGCGGGTACACCAGCCGTCGGAGTAGCCGTTGGCCTTCCATTGCGTGTAGACATGGAGGAGCGTGAGGTGATCCGACTCGGGGACAAAGAATTTCTCTCGCGCGGCGTCGGATTCCTCCTGACGTTCTTTGGGGCGGTAGAATACGCTCGGAACGGACAGCATGGAGACGATGCTGAGCATCTCCTCGCTACACCGGTATTCCTCGGAGGCTTTGATGAGCAATTTTGCGAGCGGAGGGTCCATGGGAAATGGAGTCATCCGCCGACCCAGGTGGGTGAGGTCACCAAGGTTATCGAGCGCCCCCAAAGACCAGAGTTCGAAAAGCGATGTGGTGATCGTCTCCTGCGGCGGAGGATCCATGAAATCAAAATCCAGGAGATCCTTGACACCGAGAGACTTGAGCAGGAGGACGGTATTGGAGAGACTGGTGCGCTGAATTTCGGGGATGGTCTGCAAATAGAGTTCGTTCTTGTAGGCGACCTCCGTATACAATCGATATGCTTTGCCAGGCCCTGTCCGACCGGCACGTCCCGAGCGCTGGTTGGCGTTGGCCTGAGAGATTGGTGTGATCTGCAGCGTGTCCATACCCATCCGAGGGTTGTATACTTTCAACTTAGAATAGCCCGAGTCCACCACGAACATGATTCCGTCGACCGTCAAACTGGTTTCAGCGATGTTTGTGGCAACAATCACTTTGCGCACCCCGTTCTCGGCCCGTTCGAAGATTTTCGCTTGCTGCTCCGCAGGCATCTGACTGTAAATGGGCAGAATGCTGAGCTTTGGTGGATCGTTCAGTAGCTTTAGCCGTTCGTCCACCAGTTCGCATGTAGCCTCGATATCCTCCTGACCTGTCATGAAGACAAGGATATCACCCGGTCCTTGCGATACGTGAATGGCCAAGACCTGCTTGACCGCACTGTCCACATAGTCTTCGCATGGGGTACGCGAGAAGTGGACATCAACGGGGAAAGTCCGTCCAGGGATGATGAATTCAGGTGCGCCGCCGTAGAATCGAGAGAAGCGTTCGGCGTTCATTGTAGCCGATGTCACGATCAACTTAAGATCCCTGCGTCGGGCCAGCACCTTTTTCAAAAGTCCCATGAGGACATCAGTGTTAAGAGCTCTCTCGTGCGCCTCATCCATGATGATGCAGGAGTATTTATCGAGGTCCTGCTGAGCCAACGATTCTCGTAATAGGACGCCGTCAGTCATATACTTGATGACCGTCTTGCTACTCGTACAGTCCTCGAAACGGATCGCATAGCCCACCTCTTCTCCCAGGTCCACCTCCATCTCCTCGCTTACTCGTTTGGCAACACTCATAGCAGCCACCCGTCGAGGCTGCGTACACCCGATCATTCCAAACTTCGAATAGCCGTCTTCGTGCAGAAACTGTGTCAGCTGGGTCGTTTTACCAGACCCCGTTTCACCGACGACCACCACCACCTGGTTATCTCGTATCGCCCGCAGCAAGTCCTCTCTCACGGCGAACGCCGGAAGGAACTCTCTTTGCTCGCGGAGCGTCTTGCTCTTGCTGAATGAGCTCTGCCCACCCTCGTCCTTTTTCAGGTGTTTGGCAAACTTGTTTCCGCTCTTGTATGCCTCCTCCACGGGCACTGCGACCGCACTGTCCCCCTCGTCCTCCTTGACACCCATCAGATTTCCGAGGGCCGTGCCCGCCATCGTTGTTGCTTCCTGCGCCTGCTTCTGGCGTTCCCGCTGCTGACGCCTTTCGCGCACCACTTTGCTTCCCTTGCGACTGAAGACAGCCATGTCACTCTGCGGATCCCGGACAGCGGAGATGGGCTCCAGCTGTTTTGTGAAAATCGTGCGGCCATCGAGGAACGGTGGGCGGAGATCGTGAACCAGCAAATGGACTCGAGTTCCTTCTTCGTCTTCGGGCATGAAGTCCCCATCGAAGTCCCTTCTCTGAGCGACACCGGACGTGAGCATTCGGTTGGTTTCCCAGTTGTCAATGTCCTTGCGCTTCGCGTCGCGCAACGGGCCCGGCAGGTTGGAGCTTTTCAGCCTCTTGGCTGGGGGCATGTCGTCCGGCGCCATTTTGAAATGTTGATGTAAAAGTTTTGGGAGGAGACAAAGTAAACAGCGCAAGTTATTGACTTTTGGAAAATGTCTGCGAGAAGGGCCACAGCTGATTGCTTGAGCCCTCCTGGCGATGAATTGGGATAGCTTCGGAGGCGGATTCGATGGACTATCGGGCGATTGGCGATAGTGTCACCATGCAAACCCTGCAAACAGATATCAAACACGTGATTGATACACAACACCCAATGACGCAGATTTAGAGCTCATTTCGGGGGCAGACAAGATCGCAGTTGCAGTCTAAGTGATTGCACTACGAACTACGATAGCCCAAGTTAAGATTCTTACTGAGCTCCAAGTTGTACGTGGCAGCGCTGTGAGTGGACCCGGATTCAGTATTGGCTTCCAGTTCCCTCTGCCTGGTCCGCCGCCGCCGCGGATATCGAACCAACGCCCCGCATCGCAACTCCAGCCCAGCTTTGCAAGTACGCTGCGTGTACCGAATATCGACAAAATGGCCAGTCAAGCACAGATCAACCCTAAGAAGCAGCAGGGTATGTCTGTACAAGCTTGAGTTCCTGTTCTAATGTTCAAGGGTTTCGTGCTGATCGCTTGCAGAGCTTCAGCTCCAGTACACCAATTACAAAAACACACTGCAGCAGTTAGCACAAAAGATCGGCGATATCGAGCAGGAAGCAGAGGAGCACAAGTTAGTCTTCCCTGCTTTACTCCCAACCTGTTTTAGCTGTTCAAGCATGGATCGCTAATGCCAGCGTGCTGTCGTTAGACTTGTGATCGAGACACTCGAACCTCTTCCCAAGGATAGAAAATGTTTCCGCATGGTCAATGGGGTTCTGGTTGAACGGACCGTCGAAGACGTTCTTCCCTCCCTCAAAACGAATTCGGACGGCCTGAAGCAGGTCTTAGATGAACTGCTGAAGCAATACAAGTCGAAGCAGTCGGATCTTGACAACTGGAAGGTTCGTCATTTCATGCCAATCCTCGTGAGAAGGACCCGCTCTGACCTGGATCTCCCTTTACAGAAGAAGAACAACATTCAAGTCGTACAGCCATAGGAGAACAATAATCTGAGAGTTACCACGGTTCATTGATTACCTTTCATATATCCCTTGGTGCCATCTTTGGAGGTGACAAACGGAGAGCAGGGCAGGAGCAGCATTATTTGGAGCCCACAGCCATCTTGACAGCCTCTTGACTTCGCTTCCATTGCGACATCCCATGGACTGAACAATTCGTGGCTCATGGTATCTGCCATGACAGGACTTTGCCAGTTTCGCTCGCCTAGGACGAGGACGATGGGTGGCAGCTAAACACAAACCAGTACTTTGTTACAGGACGGTCGGGGCCCTGAATGCACTCATGCCTAATTGTTAGGTTCACCTCTGGGGATGATTTCATATCAGGCCATAAAGCTGAAGTCTGAGGCGCTGATTTCAAGGCTTTGATCATCCCTGACAGCAAATAGTGTATAATACAACTTCCGTGCCTTTTTCACCTTGCTTGATGACTCTGCCTTCCAGGGTGCATCGCCACCGGTTCAAATGTTCTATCACTATTGTTACCGCAATCTTTGTCTACAACGCAGGAATTTTAGTAATTGACATAGTCAGAGAGGGCGTCGTCTAGCCAGGAATTCTCCGATAACGCTTATGCAACCCAAGAGAAGGTGTGGCTCGGCTGAGTTGGCCCCTGTGGAACAAGGCGTCTGAAGTAAACATCTGCTGTACTCGTCTGCAGTTGGCCGATTCGAGGCCGGATCACGACAGCTGCACGAAAGCACATTGCTCCTGACTTCATCTGATAGAGTCTTGTTCCCGAGATTTCCTACTGGCTGCTTCATGTCAGCCTTGGGAGTAGATCTGGAACTATCCCGATGCATGTGTGTGTGTGTGTGTGTGTGTGTGTGTGTGTGACACGTTCAATGGCTAGCAAGCTCTCAGCCAACTTTGTTTGACAGATGATCTTCGAGGCTGATATGCCGACCTTGTCCTCTTGGGGAGCGAGTAGCTTGGGTAGAAGCCACCTGGATTCTATGTAGTAGAGAGCGGCAAGTGATGGATGCCCTCATCCACACCTTCGCAGATTGGGCTGCGGAGTAGAACTTTCTGTGGCTTTTGCCTAATCGGCACCTTTTCCAAAAGTATACAGTACTTCATGCCGAGTAGGGCTCTGGAATGTGATGAGACGAAGAGATGCATGAAAGTTCAGGTTCCCCGAATAGATGGCTGGCCCAGATTGTCAGGAAACGCTGTTGATGCCTGACGCCATGTACAGTACACGGTCCGTCAGTCCTCATAGGGCACGTAATGACATAAGAGATTGATACAGTTCAGTCGGCACGGATCCTGAGACAAAGGACAGAGCAAGCGAGGTATCATTATGAGTGCTATGATATCTTAAGGTACTGAGGGAAGTTTGGCCGGCCCACTTGTCCTTGACATTGATTGGAGCATTGGTCTCAGAGGTACGGAGTACTCTATGTATAGAAAGTGATAAGAAGTAACCGATAAACATTTCTGCGCATGTAAGAGCTATGTGACTAGGTCTCTTGAAACGCGATAGAAGTTGCTCAGCGTCAGAATTTGGGGTCAAGCGTGCATGGCACGTAAGAAGTACGAATGTTCTTTGCTATTGTCACTGTCGTTGAAATGGCCTGGAGGATGTTATTGCAGAATGAAAGAAGATAAGGCCGATGGCCAAGAGATCCGGGGCCGATGACGAATGTCACGTGTAATACCGTATCAATACACCCCTCCCTCTCGCACTCCGTGAGCTTGTGAGAAGCTAGTCCTAGAACAGAAAGTGACAGAGCGATACAGCGTTAGAGGGGCGTTATGGAAGTCCTGAGGCCGCCGATGAGCGCTGGTTGCTGGTTTCCCACCGCGGCTCATCGACTCTCAACTTCCTCTCCTCTTCCTCATCGCTCTTCCTTCTCTTCACTCAATCTGGGACATTGGGCGCAACCAAAGTCGTTCATCGTATTCCGCTCATCGCTTCTCTTCGAATAATACTCATCTATCGGGTGCTTCTCGGGGGCAGGAAACTGTGCATTGCAAACCGCGTCAAAGCTCATTGGCGCTTGGATATATTCATCGCGACAGCCAGGGACTTCTGGTTCGCCAATTGAGAGCTGCGCGCATTGCGGCCGTCTCCAGTCAGACCTGCCCTACGCCCCCCTCCCCCAGTGCCTGCCATTGACTGGCCGGTAAGCCTATTACCTTTTCCCTTACATCGCCCCCCCTACCCATTCTCAGCGTCCTCGTTTCTTGCATTTCAGTCCAATCACTGTCGTGCTTTGGCTTGCTTTTCTTGTTGGTATCTTTTGTCGCCCAGCTGCGCAACGTGCCACTGCCCCCCCCCAATCCTGTCTGGCCCACGGTTACTTCCGTGTTGTATTACCGCGTCACATTCCGCCCGCCCTGTTGACCTTCTCCCGCGTCCATGAATGCGCGTGCTGCAAAGAGACTTGAACTTTTCAGCTTGCTGACGTTACTATCGCCTCTAGTTTGACAGCTCTAACGTCATTCAGACAGCATTATTTCCGGAAGACCTAGATTGGGGCTTCTCCAATTATAGCAGGACGAAAAAGAAAAGGAACGAAGCCCAAGATCAGTTGTGTATGTTTCCAGAACCTGCCGCAAGCTTGCCCTTACTTCACTGGCCCTCGAATCAGATCGTCCCATTCAACCCATTGCAGCCAATCTCTAGACCAGCAATAATAATAGAGCAATAACAAACAGAGCCATCTTTCGGACCGTGTCTCGTCATCGCAGTCGGAATAACAGATCCTACCAGGCCGTGCTCAGAACGCTAAGGCACGCACGCACTATCGCGGAAGCGCTGCCAATCCCCCACACGCGTTGTCACAGTCATCCTTCCCCGTTCAGGCTGTTGTGAAGCGAATCGCTGCCCAGCCAGACACACCTTCAGTACCCTTGGCGCGGCTGTATCATAACGTCCAAGATCGAGAATCCACCACGCCCTGTACGCAGCTCTGACGTGGTTTGCCAACAGAGCAATTAGAGACAGCCCTTCCATCCTAAATCCAGTATCTCTGCACGTTCTCCCGACAGCTAAAAATCATGTCGTCGACCTCCCCCTCGAAGGAACCGGAGGTGGAACCGGAAGTTCAGTCGGGTGAAGACCAGGAACAAATGGACAAAGACCAACAAGACTCCCAGGCGCAAGGTCAGGGAGAGTTCGAAGTAAAGGAGCAGGACAGATGGCTACCAATTGCAAATGGTTAGTTGCGTTCCCTTGCAGCTTGTCGCTTCGTCCTGATTTGTGCGTACCTTACCTTCACCTGCTGGTCAACCGCCTTTTGCCCTACTATGATTGCTCGTGCCTCTCCACCGCCTAGGAGGCTGATTCGGTCAATCGTCACCATTCCTTGCTATCCTATTCATCTACCTGCCATCATCTATTTCGGGGATTGATGACCACGAGCCTTTCGGTTCATGTCCCTATTTGTCGTCTGCCACCACTGCCAGCAATCATCCGATTGGGTAGACATGTCTACAGTATGCTATAGCATGCTGGGTGCATTATGCCCATATCCACCTCTTCGTTGTTACTATCACTGCATGCCTGTATAGAATACTGACATTGCCTGTGAAGTGGCTCGCATCATGAAACTAGCTCTACCTGAGAATGCGAAGATCGCGAAGGAGGCCAAGGAGTGTATGCAGGAATGTGTGAGCGAATTCATCTCGTTCATCACCAGTGAAGGTCTGTACAGTCAATATCGTCTCATTATCAGCACTGAAGACTGACTGTCGAGCCTTTGCGTAGCTTCCGACAAATGTCAGCAGGAAAAGCGTAAAACAGTCAACGGAGAGGATATCCTTTTCGCCATGACCTCACTCGGTTTCGAAAACTACGCAGAGGCACTGAAGATCTACTTATCAAAATACCGCGAGGTAAGACTTGTGCAACGCATCTAGCCACTTTGCCCTTGCCTCAACTGGCGAAAGCGTGGTTTGCCTTGAAGAGAACACTGCTGATCTAATCTGCAGACCCAATCCGCGAGAGGAGAGCATCAGAACCGTCCGACAAGCAGTGGGTACAACGCCGGCGGCCCCGTTGGAGGCCCTCCCGGCGCCGGTCCATCCGGACGGCCAGTTGCACCGACGGGTCCGGGGGGCTTCCCTGATACCACGGATGCTGCCAATAACATCATCAACCCAAGCTTGGACCCCTCTGAGCAGGATGCTTCCGCCTACGGCTACCCTCCCATGGTCGGCCAAGCCCACAACGGCACTGGCGGTGATTCTTACTAGAGTAAGCGTCTGTGTGCAGGAGAACCATTCCAACTGACGCAGTGCAATCATAATTGGTTCCAAGGCCATCAACCATATCCCCACGGATGATCTACACACTGTGTCCCAAAATGCACAAAGGAATCCAAGACTGGTTTCACCGTGTATCCAGCCCCTGAGGGCTCACAGTAACATACACGGTTCCTTACTACAAACGTTTCAAATTACACTTCCGGTCCTTACTCCCTTGACAACATAACGTCTCCCCAGGTGGTGCGGCACGAGCATTATGGGGATTTGTTTACTCACGGAACTTGTGACGGACGGAAAGTGGGTGAGATTTTAACTTAAGCAATCCGACAGATTCAGATCTCAGTTCACGGGTGGCGCGCTTATCTTGGCTTTTCACCGGTTGTTTCTTCTGTTACATGAGCTGCGGCTTCTCACTTCCCTGATTTCTCTGGGCACATCAACTGCCTTTTATTGTATTACCCGCTCCGATTCCCAGTTTTTCCTTTCCTTGTTTTGTTCGGAGACTCACCCTGTCTCCTCAATCAGTGTAAAAGAGGCTGTTTTGCATGACCCAGTAGGTCCGGGTATGCTGGTCCCTTCGATCTGGGATCATTTGTATTTATCTGTCTTCGTCGAGTTGTCTCGTCTACACCTATATTCATCTGCTATTCTTAGCTTATTTGTATGGGCACATGCTTTCGGGCGGTGGATCTTAGTGTTGGCAGATAGAATCAAGCTTGGACATCGCTGTCCTTTAGCGCTTTCGCGGCACAACAAGCTGATTGGGGCTAATTTTTGGTATACTGGTTTATGACAATTCCATGTTAGGGAGGCTATGTATGATAAATGCAGAAAGGTCACCGATGTTTCTCGACATCGATGGTGCTAAATATCAATGAAAAGCCGGGACAAAGCAATGAGAGGGTCATCAAGTCATTATCGTTCGCGCACAGTCCATGTTCTCAAGGAATATCCGGGTAGCTTCAAGACCAATGATATGTGGCAATGACGAGTACGCCATAAATACAAGTGCAATGCAAATGTCAGCCGTGCATCCAGCCCCCATCATGCAAGAGATCCGACAGTGGTGTCTCCTGCCAGTAAATTTGACGCCACTCATCTTCCAATTCAGGAAGACCTTCCATGGCCATCGGAAGGACGGGTTGGTCCATGTCAGCGAAAGAGAACAGCTGCCGCCAATCGAGAGATTCGCGGGGGGCGTCCAGAGTCTCTACCGGAGCCATGTTTGCGGCTGGCATCCAGTGATCGATCGCGTGATTCTGTTGAAGGCCCGCAGAGGTAGTGGAGTTTGGAATGTGTGTCGACTCTGGAGTCGGAACTTCGTAGGAGACAGGCTGTTCCTCCTGCTGTTGTCGAGTGTGTGTAGCTATTGTGCTTGTGGAAGAGCTAGAGGATGAAGTATGGGCCACAATCTTCTCCCGTTCTTGGGAATTGCTGAAACCACGGGGTCTTTCAGTTGTAGCCAAGCGAAGATCCTCCTGAAGGCGCTTGGAATCTTCGAACAACCGTAAGATAGTGGTGGCATGTGACCAGTATCCTGCCAGTTCACGAAGCGAATAAGAAGCTGAATCAAAGCGACGAAGGGCATTAATCGCTAGGACAGGATTTGAGAAGCGAAGCTCCACTCGCACTTGTATCATTGCCGTGAAAAGGGTATGAACAGCGGAGTACCAGAGAATCTTCAAGCGATCATGGAGACGAAGTTCTTCAAAAATCGAGGCTATGACACCTGCAGCTGCGCTACAGATTTCAGCATCGTGTGGTCCGTAGTCATCCGAATATGCAGAGGCTCTTGGATGGGGTCGATGTAGTAAAATGAGGAAGTTGTTATAGGTCAAATGAAGCATAGCAGACCATGGATCCATGTCAGATGCTCGTAAGCGTAATTTGTCTGGAAGCTTCAAGGACCAATTAGCTAGGCTCTCGTCGGCCTCTTGCAACACCGCTTTGCGACGCTCTGGGTTGACTCTCAGTCCGAAACGATTGCGAACAATGTAAGATATCATTGTGCAGAGTTCCGAAAAATGAATCACAAAGTCTGTTTGAACCCCACGTCCACATCCTTGAAAGTCTGAAAGTGTTAACGAAGACACATCGGAGTCCTCAAGATTACTAAAGGAGACTGTCAGTCCTGGGCATCAAGTGGAAGACTTCTGGACCACTTACATAGCTTGTGGGCGTCCATATGAGAGAGATACCATGACATCAAATTGGACTAGGATATGCCAAAGCCTCCTCCACATACGGCGGTCTCGTGAAACAAATCGGCTTGACACAGGATTTCGATGCATCCCAAGTCCTGTGGCAATCCTAGCAGCTACGCCAACCCAGTAATGAGCGTTAGCTGAGACATCATCGTCAGGGCTATCAGAGTGCCAAGTCAAAAGTAGAGCGGCCTGAATCATGATGTCGCGGTTTCGCTCGACACGACTATCGAATAACCATTTAGCTCGACGAAAGAAGATCTCTTTCAGTGCATCACGCTCGACCTTTTGCCGAGCTACGTGTGCTCCGACTAGAAGTATTGCTTGTAGAAGCAGGATTGGCGGCGGGTCGGCAGGGTCCCGATTCCGGTACTGTGTCATGAAGAGATCCTCATCTATGATGGGATACCCTGGGTTGACGTGGTCAAAGTAAGCCTGAACCAGTTCATCTGCCAGAGCCGGTTCAGGTAAGGTGACAGCATCCATCAAAAGTTGATCGTGGCCTGTTCTCAGTTGGCGCCGAGGTATTTCGTTTCCAGCAAAGTGGTACACGTCGTCGACTTCGTCTCGCTGTTGGCGGATCAAAAAAGACATGTTGGACAGCTCGTGACCGACATAGATCGCTCGCACACCCCGACGGATTTCTCGACTGCCTGATTCTTCCTCGTCGATCAGTTTCACCAATCGTCTTTCCAAATCCGCATGCGAGTCCTGGTCTATGGAGATCTCCGATTCCGTTGGGTGATGGTATGTCTGGGCATCGGAAGTTGGTGAAGAACAGTGATGCTGTTGTTGGTGATCAACATGGTCATTGGTTGTACGATGGAGCGCATGGACATTGACGAGGGAAGTGGCAGCTGCCACAACGTCCGGTTGAACGTTGCGGAAGGCAGTTGTGAAAGCATTTGGCGGAGCAGCAGGAGAAGCAAGATTTGATGGTTTGTGCGTAGGTTCAAAAGCAGGAGGTGGACGACAGCGAATAGGTACAGGGTTCAAGATTGAGCGTGTAGCTAAGCGTTTCTTTTTCTCATGAATGCGGCAGTCTGACTTTCCCGCGGAGCGGCAATTGGAGCAAGGCAACCCGACGAGCCGAGCATCACAGCGAACTTTGCGCCGATGACAGTGAATGCAGGCGGCAGAGCCTGGCGCAGACAGACATTGATGAGGATCCGAGTATTTAAGAAGCGCAGATGATGAGCCAGAGCGAGTACATACCTGACTTGCGCTTAGTCACGCCATTCCCGGGGGGTGGACTGCTATGCGCTGCGGAGGACATAGCCGAAGCATCGATATAGATTCCAGGTCCGGAGACTCGTTACTTCGTCATGCATAATCAGATGCACGAGAGCAGAAGACGGAGATTATGGCATGATTCAGTCTTCGTAATCAAGGCTATGAGAGATCAAGGAACCAAGGAGAGGATTGAAGGAGTGGTGAAGAGAGGAGAGAGGGAGAGGTGGAAAAGGAAGAGGAAGAGGAAGAGGAAGAGGTCACTGAAGAGGGAGACACGCCGACAACAAGCGGGAAAGCGAGAGAGTTGCAAGTGGAATGTGGGGCAGGAACGAGGCCGGGTCTGGGGGAGTCACGTGGCACGTGCGGAGAAAAGGCCACGGCTAGTGCCTTACTGTATCATGTAGTTTCCAGAATCCGCATGGAATATTAGGCGGGGTGAGATCAGATTGAACTTCCATGGCCCATTCCACTGGTCAAGAGAAGAATGGAATTTATTCCCATCCTTCCCCTTGTCTACACGCAACATACTGGTCCAGGAAGACGGCTTTCTTCCGGTGACTGTGGAAGGAATCAAGCCGACCCACCGGGATAACCTTTTAGTGTCAAATTTGAATGACTCCCTTATCAAGCAGCCCTATCAACTGTGTGTGACTGGCTCACTGCCTGGATCAAATGGGCCCTTATCAATTCATTCCACCCCCAACAAATGCTTCTTTCAACAAACTGATACGATAAAAAAAATCATGCTCTAGCCATGCATCTCTATTGCTCTCTAATTGAGCTCATTCTAACCGTAAATGAAGCGTTTCCAATTGTTTGCAAATTGCTGAACTCCCTGTTCCAAAGCCCAACCACGAAGCTCGCAAATCTGCCGGCTGATCTGCTCTAATAGCTCGTCCATCTGTGGTCCGGCGGTGTGCAAATCGCTTTCAATGAGGATTCTATCGTCGGGCAGAGCCTTGATAACGTTCATTACCTTCTGAGATGAAGGGTTGCTGAAATTAATGACTGCGGAAAACGAGAAGTAGACGACGGAGGGATTCGATGGATGCAAAAATTGCTTCAACGGGTCCACAGGTCCCGAATACGAGTGCATGCAGATCCGGGGTGGAAAAGGAAGCGGTCGCTCGTTTGCTTGCGCCGAGTCCGATTGCTTCTGATTTTCTTCTTCATCACTCTCAGCAGAGGAATTCCATTCGTTCTGCCGACGATGTCTCTCCCGCCTTGAGACCAATTTCTTCTCATGGCCGGACCAAAGCTTCTTGAACAGATCAAAGACCGCCCCATGTGCTTGAACACTGTGCACAGAAACCGGTCGACCTAGCTCCCCGGCAAGACGTAACTGCGCTTCAAGGACAGCCTTCTGGTGGCTCAGCTGCACCCGATGAGGGCTGAGAGTCCTGCCCTCACGTGAACCGGGCGTCACTGTCTCGTCCCGCTTCAGCTGGTCGTCTTGGGTCCACGCATTGGGCAGCCGAAATGCGCGATCAAGGCCGATTTCGCCCACAAGGGAGCTGGGATAAGCCTCTAGGCGTGAGCGCGTGTCTGCGACCAGCTGCGAAAGCGGCTTGGGGTCCGGCAAGGAGGCGATAAACTCATCTTCCGGTGCCGGTGTAAGGACTTTCTTGTAGTGTTGTGCCTTTCGATCGTCCCGCGGAGAACTGTCAGGTTCTGCAGAGTCTGTAACGTCGTCGAAAATCTGGTGCGAGAACCACGGATGCCAGCCAAAGCATGGCAGCACAGGCGGTGGTTTTGTGCCTGTCGGATCAATTTCATTTTTGCTCAACGACATCGCAGTTTCGAGAACCAAATCTTGATCTTCTCCCCGGGTAGCCATGACCGTCAAGGTCGTTGCTTTCATTTGTGGAATCGTTTCAATTGACGACATCGTATCGGTGGGATGGCAATGAGCGTCGTAAACACCCAAGTACCACGGAAACTCGTCATTGTGCTTTGTGTCTGACATTTACACAACAATAAGATGGTGAAGGTGGCGAGTAGCAGGTAGAGAGACTAGGGAAGACG